AACCAGGATCAGCTCGACTTTGCGACACAGTACTAGTAATCGTGGATCGATTGACTAAGGCTGCGAAGTTTGTGCCCACGGAAGAAACTATTACGGCAGAAGAATGCGCGTACGAAGTTACTAAGGCACTAGTATCAGAGCATGGGACACCTGAAGAATTTATCACGGACAGAGATAAGCTGTTCACGTCGAAGTATTGGTCGACGTTCCTAGCAAGAATGGGAGTCAAGAAAAAGCTATCGACTAGTTTTCACCTAGAAACAGACGGACAAACGGAACGAACGAACCAGACGCTGGAGGAGTATTTGCGATTCTACACCAACAAGCTGCAAGACAACTAGGTCGAGCTCTTGCCGACAGCACAATTGGCGTACAACAGTAGGAAATTGGCAACAACGAAATACTCTCCACACTATGCGAACTACAGATATGAGCCGGTTGCTCATCGAGATCCGAAGGACATTGAAAGCATTGCAGTCAGAGCAGACGACAAGGCTCAACTGATGCGAGAATTGCACGAGCAATTAAGCAAGAATATAGCTCACAAGAACCTCACGGCATCCAAAGCTGCGAATAAGCAAAGGATTAAGGGACTAACCTTTAAGAAGGGGGACAAAGTCTTCTTGTCACGACAAAACCTAAAGACTAAGCGGCCAAGCAAGAAACTGGATAATCTCCGATTAGGACCATTTAAAATCGTAGAGACAATTGGACCGGTAAACTACAAACTCCGGCTACCACCAGGCATGCGCATACACAATGTGTTCCACAAAAAGCTACTGGAACCAGCACCCCAAAAACGCCAAGCTAATGGACGACATAGAGCTCGAAGACGACGAGTACATAGTCGAGGAAATCAAGGACCTACGGAAAATCGGTAGTTAGTGGAAGTACTTGGTCAAGTGGCAGGGATGGCCCGAGAGCCATAACACTTAGGAACCTGAAGGAAACCTGACGAACTGCAAGTCACTAGTACGTAAGTACCATCGGAAACATCCAAGGAAACGAGAATCGGATTCTCGTAAGAAAGGAAGAAGTCAAAAGAAAAGGAAGAATCAGCCTGTAACCAGCCCGGGTCAGTCGAGGGTCCGGATAGCGATGGTTCGGTTGTCGGAAAACCCATACCAGGGGCAGAGCTCCCCTCACCCTTCTCTTCCTTACGATCCTAAAGGTTCAGAATGGCATGATCGCGATCAGCAAACGCTCGTTCCCGCGCCTCGACCTCTAGGAGTTCGCGACGCAGACGCGCAGTATCAGCAGCGGCCTGAGACTGGCGCTCTTCAGCATAGGCCAACTCGAGACGCTTTTGACGCTTTTCAGCCTCAACCTTCTCCCACTCTTCCTCAGTCACAAACAAACTGCACTCAGCTTTCACAGCAATACAACCAGCACACTGCTTAGATACAGTATCCACGAAGCAGCGAAGATTCTTCTTTTCGCAGCGCTTACAGCGAAAAGCCATTTCCTTCCCTTAATGACGAACACAGTCAGAACGAGCCTGACGGTATTAAGTCGAGGTTATCGCGGAGGTCTGGCGAACGGAAGACAGGACCTTAGGCATGGTTAGGAAGGCTAGAAGGAAGGGACAGATACAATAGCCCGGGGCCTACCGACCTTATATGCAGCCAGCGATCCAACACGCAGCACGGCAAAACGATATTCTAGGGTATTAGGACGATACGCCTAAGAGGGGGGATAATGTTACAAGTAACAAGAAGGATTCTCTCCTTGACGGGGAACGACGAGGTTGAAGGCCAACCACGTCCACGTCAGAAGGTAATGATCATCGCGGGGCTTGGGGTCACGTGATGCGTTCTCCCGCCAAGAGCCGTTCTCCCGCCAAGGAAGGGATAATGGGCCAGGATGGGAGAAGGCGTTCTCCCACATCTCCCAGAAGACAAGGATGTCAAGGGAGAAGAGGGAGAACAGGACAGAACACGATGGGTATAAGAATGGGTTGGATTTCATTATTACACTCGTTGTGGTCAACTCTCATAAGTTCTTCTCTTACACAGATTGATACTTAGTTATTCTATCTTCCAATAGAATTGGTTTGTCTTACCAACCCGGTTAACTCCTATAACTTCTCTCCACCTTATCGCCAGACAATTACCTCACGGATACTTCCACAAGATAGCCTCGCCCTAACCCGGACCGAGACTAGGTAAGTATAGTTTCTGATAGTGTTAGGAAACCCCGTGTAACAGATAGAACCGCCAAATCTGGCATGCAACCCTAACGCTAAGCCTATTTTAGCACGAATCAGGCCTCTTTCGCCGCCTCATATTGGTTAGGCCTTATAATAAAGCTTTAAAATAGGCCTTTAGGTGCCTATTTTAGCTACCTTAACTACCTAGCTATTACGTAATATTCTTATTCTCTATACTACTTACTTCTTTACTTAAATTTACTATTAAACTTAGGTAGTAAAAGGCGTAATAATAATCAAAAGCCTTATTATAGTTAGCTAACGTAATTATTATACTACGCTAGCTATAGCTTTTTTAGTAAGTAGCTAAGAGCCTATTTTAGGCTAGTTTTTAGGCTATATAGAATACTAAAAATTAAGTAATATAGCTAGCTTTTAAGCTTTACTTTTTTTTTACTTTTATAACTTCTATTTTAGCTACGTAATACTACTAGATCTTTATTAATATACTAGCTATCTTTACGTACTAAAACTTACTATAGCATAGCTATATGATAGTAAGTAATATAAAATACTACTAATATTTTAGCTAAGCCTACTAATGTAGACCTCTGCTAAGTGGTAGGCTAGTGTTACGAACCTGAAGGAAGGGGCACGGCGGTTAAGTTAAGAAGCATCGACGGCCAGTCGACCCAGCCATATGTAACGCGGGGGCACGTATCACGTGACCTCCTCGGTGGCGCATGCACGAGGAAGAGTCTTGGCAGACTCCTCGTACATGATCCATCGAGGAATGAACCTCGTACATAAGCCACCGAGGAATGCTCGGGCTCCTCTAACCGAGGGTTACGAGCATCACAAGTATATAGCAATAGGCATTGAGCCCTTATAGCTCGATGTGTTCAACTTAAGTTACGAGTACAAGTACAATATACGAGTTACTTGCAGAGACACTGTTCATATCACCCTGTTGCTTCATCCGCGAAAACCAACCAAGAGTCTTGACACCAGAAGTCTTATATTACTTCCACTCAAGATCCTACTCTTAACAGCTAGATAGCCGCTTAGTGGTAGGACGAATAACTTTTGCCCTCAACTCTACGATACGTCGACTAGACGTCATCACGGGGTATTACTCGGTCAATAACTAGCTGTACCCTGATTATCCGGTCAGCTGTTGTATCAACAGTGGGGCTGCTTAGAAGTCTGTAAGGTGACCTCATTGCGTCCCAATTATTTATATAATGCTAGAAGGGGGTAGTCTAGTTCGATGAAATTATAACTTACTTCCGTTGAATCTGAAGAACAGTTACAAAAGGCACCCAAGAAACTAACCAGCATGAAGCTATCCGCCTGTTTCACTATACTAGCTCTTGCATCCACTTCATTTGGATATGTACGCATAATTCACACACCTCTTATGTCTCTACTTTGATATCATCCATCTGATGTATTCCGTAACACTTACCAACAATTTTTAATGTGATTACAGACATGCAGCCCTCCTGCAGAAAACTCAGCAGCTTTTGGTCGTTGTAATATTGGTATTAATCAATGGTTACTTTGTACCCAGGTACGTTATACAGCTAGATCGTGTCCCTAAATAAAAACGCTCACAAGATTTATAGACAAACCCATGTTCAAAGCAAGGAAAAACTTGTCAACGTATTGCTGGTGTAGACTTCGCTGCCAGTTGTAGCTAGATTATTCTGTCGACAGCGTAGAGAACGTTTCATACTCACTACAGCCAGTGAACCCCCATGGGAGATTGGTAAAGCTAGATGTTGTCTTGAAATTCCTTTATTCTGCTATCTCTATGAACAGTCCTGCAGGTCGTAACGGTGCTGAAAAGGTGTGCAGCTTTAGCTGTTATTCTCGCTGCTCTGACTGCTCTGGCTGCTCTGGCTTTCTTCATGTGACAAACTTTTGTTCTTCGAGCAGATCAAATTGCAGGTCTTGGGTGACGCCACAGCCGGGCGGGAGATCGTAGGCGACCACGAGAAAATTGCTGCAAATGAAGGCAGTGCAGAGACATTTCTTAGTGGGCTGAATCTCAATCCACTCTTGCTAGCGCAGTGCCCGAGATTGTTGCGACTTTGCCAGCAATGCCCTCTGGGATCTGCAATCCTATAGGGTCGTTAGCTCGGTTCACAGCTTTGGACTTGTACAAAGGGAGAAGTGCGAACCGTCATAAAACTTCCAGTCTTATCAAGTTCGGATTTCATTGCGTCTGTGTCGTCATCCAGTATTGTGTATAAGAGCAGTAGTATACGCATCTGCAAAACCCATAGAGGAATCGGCTCAAATCGGTGGGTTAATTGCTCACTATCTGATTGAGCTGTCATAGATGCAGGTTGTCTTGTGGGCCCCGCCTGCAGAATCCGGCTGCCGCTGCCGAAGAGGTTTCGCGTCCTTGTTCTGTCGAGCTATACAAGGCACCAATGGCACACATGCCGTATATCAGTGTGCTTGGACTCTCTAATCCTTTTAGCGACGGTAGATTGGGGATGACCAGATGTCGATAAAAGTAGTTCAGGTAACCGTTGAGGAAATGCTCAAGCTCTCGACGATTTTTGTGAGGAAGGTGTAAATCATCACAGCTGTGCCGTCTCTGTGTATATGCACACAGCTGTGAAAGTCCTTCATCATCGAATATAAGGCGAGGATGCTTTTCGTTTTCTTCCTTCAAAACACTGGGTAAGCGGACACGGTCAGAGGGGGTAGAGGTTCACTTTGGGGATTGCCTTTGCGTGAAGTCGATCGTTATGCCTAGCACAGAGAGATCGGTGGGGTCTAGCGCATTGCTACACGCACTCACAGTTGCATTCTTCTGCTGTATGGGTTGGTGGAATTAGCAATCATTGCTGACTCCGTCTATTGCCAGTTCAAAGTCGATGAAACCAAGGGGCTGAAACAAGTCTTGAGTGTCATCAAAGAGCAGAGTGGTTGGTTTGGGTAGCAGACAAATATCTTCGGGCACTGCTGTTGTTTGTGCGGGAACAATTGCGCTGGATAAGCGCGAGCGTTCGTTTAGACCCTCTGCTGAATTTTGGAGAGTACTGTCATTCCCGATACCCGAACTTTGTGGGAACGTGTCAGTGAGGCCCTCGTCGGGGGCAATTGGAATTGTCAAAAGATTGACGTTGACATGCACCACGTGTGGATTGGATGCGGTTGACTGTTCTCCAGTAGGAAGGGATGAATGGTCGACGATTATGCCTTGTGTCGTTGGCCAGAGCATGCTGTACCGGTGTTGCGGTCGTTCCTAGAGGCGCGTGTGATGATGGTGATGAAGCAGAGGGTGATGGAACAGCACCCGGGCTATTACTTGCGACATGTGCTTGTAGGCGGCTTGATTTCACAGACTGAGTAGAATGGATATAGTCATTGGACGTGTCCGAGTCCCTGGCCTCGATTGCTGCTGAGTCGTGCGGCTGAGCATGCCTCGCCCTTGGTCTCTTCCCCATGTCAATCTGGTTCATCAACGGCTCGGAGTCATCAGTGTGAATGGTTTTATGGATTCTTTTCACACGATCTCTGTTTGTCGAGTAGATGGAATTAGCACAGCTGGAGCAAATTGGTATCGGCCATGAGCAGCGTGACGCCGTACTTTCGGGCATAAGACTTGTAGCAAAACCGACAGAAAATGGGCCTCTCGTTCGTATGCGAAATCTGGTGGCGATTACAGTGCTCGCTTCTCTTGAAGACTTTGGAGCAGTATGCACACGGGTAGGTAGGGCTGGATTTGTTGGTGGCTGTACGACACTTTTCACTTTTTAGCGTACGCACAGACTGGGCAGCAGCCATTACTCGACGGGCGACGATGAAATGGCAATGGCGAGGCGAGGGTTGCTCTGTCACAGTTGCGCGTCACAAGTCTGGGGAGAAGGAGGATGCGGAACGAGAATGGCGAATCGCCAGGCACCGAGGCGCAGCTTCCCCACAATCTAGCAGTAGGAAGTGTGCCATCTACATAGCAGCACATACATATGGAAACTCAACACGACGAAAGTCTTGGGCTATCCGTGCCCTGCTGGCTCTCCATCGCGGTACGTCTACTCCTTGTCGCACGCACAAAGGTCGGGCTGGCGATGGGCAGCGACTCCAATACCAAGTACTGAACAATCCACTCCATGTCTGCATTTCCAGCATCATCTCGGCCTAAGCCCGCTCGGGAGCAGCCTGTACACTGTCCAGCTCACTTAGGGTGCCTTGCTGACAGGGAGAAATTGAGCCAGACACAATCAGCGGTGCCTTTACACGCAACAACAGCAGCGTCTATCCAACAATCAAAATGCCTTTGCTCAATGTCGCATCCCAGAAGCAAAGTGCAGGTTCGAAATCATACCATGTGACCACTTGACAGTCTGGAAAAGCTCAAGTCCTGTGTAGACCTTCCATCGCTTGGAAAACCGATTACTTACAAGTATTGAAAACATAGGCCTTTTTTGTTGTTTATAAGTGAAGTATTTGTGCGTCATAAAGCCCTATCCATCATTTCACCTGGTGCTTTTCTTTTTTCTTATTTGGGAATCTTGCGAAGCGGTTTGACAGTAGTCTTACTGTGTATGCTTCTGATTGGGTGTTCGTTTGTTCGTCTGTTGATAGGCCAATTCATCTGCTGACAAGGCTTGAAACAGTTAGCTCTTTGACACCCAGCTTTAATCACGTACTTGTATTGAACAACAAATTTTCATACAAATATAAAGAGAATTTTTATAAGTTTAACACTTTTCAAGTACAGAATGAACAACTCTTACCCATCAAAATTCTTCTTTGTAGTGTACTTCAGCCCTTCCTTCTCCGCCTGCGCAAAGGTTTCACACATGATTTCCGAATGTTTGGATGGATGTGGCCCAGTTGAACACTTGAAAGGCAAAGGAATCGAAAGGAATCCTGTTGCCATCTTTGTAATAGGTTCAATCACATTGCGTTCCTGTCCTTGCCTTTCGGAATATTGAAGCTCCAGAGCACGCGGACATTGATATAAAGGGAGCGCTCCGCAACGTGCACTCTGGGGCATACTCGCTGTCCACTATGTACCGTATGTAAAATCGCCTCGCGCGTAGGCATCTGCGGCGTTGATATATTCGGCAGCCGAGAGACTCCTGTCATGATATCGTCTTGGATCAAATCTGTCTGAGTCTGGGAACAGATTTGGATTGCGCTGTATTGCCCTGTAATCTGCTTAGCCTTTCTTTTTTAATCAATAGCGTTATTATCATCTACGCATCACTAATTCAGTACAGCCACTGAACATTTGGGGATATAGTAGCCTTCATATCAGTCGTCTTCACTTGTAGTATGGAACATCCCGAACTGATTGACCGGTCGCCAACGCAGTACTTCTTTTACCATTGACCCAACGTAGTGAAGACCCTTCTTATCATACCAGTTTGGAAGGCGTCTTCCACCAAAAACCCGATCAATTTCCTCCTGTGCTATCTTTGCCGTCTCTGGGTACAAGGTCATAGCCAGTATCCAGTTAATCACAATTGTAGCAGTCATTTCAGTAGCGGCTTCAATAAGACCGCCACACCTGTATGCAGCAAGAAGCTCATCAATCCTATTTTTAGCCGGATCATTCAAGTAAAAATGCCTATAGAACGACTCAAGAGCCGACCTCCCTCTTCAAGCGGTTCATAGATCTCAGTACACTTTACTATCGTGCTCAAGTATTGTTTTGCGTGTGTACGCCAGTTGCCTAGTAGGAACTCTGGTAATACGGCGAGCGACCGGAAACTCTCAACCACATATCTTCCAGGGGCGGTCACATCAGTCAGGCGATCGAGTACTTTCTATATCTTGTTGGTGAGTGGTTCCTGAAAGGATTGGAACCGATAGCCGTATGCAACAAGCATAATAACTGCTGTAGAGTAGCGGCGGTTGATGGTATAAAAGTTGCTAGGTGATTTGATCAGTTCCTGCAGAAGCTGTTTAGACTCAAAGTCCTAGACAGACTGGTATCTGACTGGATTATTCAAGTTGAGTATCGCATGGCTGTGCTGGCGCAGTTGGCGCAGTTGGCGCCATTGAAGGCCATAAGGTATAAAGAGCTGTCGGCGGCCAGCTCTGGCAAAATCTTGCGCGAGAGGAAGTGGTGGCCGTGAAGAGTAATTGTTGGATTTCTTGTCCATAAGATCCCTGACAACCTTTGGCGAAGAGAGCCAAACATAGTCAGTCACGCCAACTTTAGTGTAGAACAAATCGCTGTATGATCTATGCCGTTTTCGCACGACATGATACACCTCATCCGAGTCAGCCAAGTTGAAGAGGTTTCCGATAAGTGGTTTTCTACAGGGTCCTGAAGGCAGCTGTCGCCTGTAAGGATACTTAAATGATTGACAATTTCTTAAGGCGTGAAGGTTGCAGCATAATCAAATTCAGAGCTAGTTGTCTGACGTACCCTTAATGTATTTGGGATAAGCACTAAGTAGAAAGCTATAGGTAACGCCACTACAGATCCTAGGATATGTGACACGTTCGCCGATAGGGCCTGGAATTCCAGGGTTGAAAGAATGTTCATAGTAGATCCTAGCAAAGTGTCTCTCTCTGCATTTGTTAGAAGCGAATGATGTGTAAGTTTAAGAGATCAAGCAGTTAGGGATGCTTACCCCACCACCTACACAACGCCCCATTTCCATTCCTTGGTCCGTACAGTACGGAGAACATACTGAGTTCCTTCCCTACCCAAGCTCTGTTTATCAATTGCCCACATACTATGTGCGATCTGCTAATGATCCGGGTAGCCTGACTATACGCTTAGATGCGGTACTTCACGCGCACACATCTGGGCAGACATGCATTAGGAGTGTTTTGTGTTTGAACAATTGACATAAACAATTTCAACCGCCAAAGAGTCGCATGTTGATTGTTATTCTACATACAATCTTGACCCATTCTACTATGATATACGCAGCCAAAGCCTGGCGCATAGTCTCCCAACACGTGTCATGATTGACAGATGAGGGATTTCCTGAGAGTTCGTTGCCGTGCCCTGCACAGCCTAATCCGCATCTTTATCCTGTAATACTTCCGATTCTAATTAGAGTTTTTAAATTACCTTCGGGTCTTTTCAACATCTTTAGATAGTGCATTAATTCGCGGCGCCGCTGACGCTGTACAGCTAAGATCACTTATTAAAAATCTTATTATACTTTACACGAGAATCAGTAGCTCCCTTTTGAGTTAAGCCTGTCAGTGTTATACTCAAACTCAAACTCAGTTTTACAGTACTTTGGCGACATAGCGGTCTCCTGAGTGTAAGCTATATTGCCCCTCTCAGTTATTATATTAGAGAGCGAGGTGAGTCAAGAGATGGTTGTATTGTGACGTTCCATGCATTGTGTAATGTGTTGTACAAGGGGCTTACCGGCTAGCTTGTAAGGCAACTGAATAACAACGTTGGGTTTCGCTACTAGATCGGTCATGTCTAACAAGTTATAAATTGCGAACATAGTGCTTAGATATTTCATTACAGTGCAAACTCTATAGCGCTCTGATAGTGCACTATATATGCAGACCCCTGCTTTGAAGGGAGTCATTGGACCTTTACCCTTAGCGTAAGCTGCATCGGTATACTAATGAACTATGTTGCTGATTGTAGCAAATGAATATCTGTGCTTTATAGCTTGATTTTGGTCTAGAAGCTATCGTACCCTGAAGCCCTCATATTAGTGTAGAATATATAAACATGTAGAGATGCACGTGGGAATTTTAGTCTTTAGTCGGATTCTACTTACCTTTCGACTTGGTACCTATCTACTACAATGCAGTTTACCTATACTGCTTTCCTTGTTATCGCTTATAGCACTGTTCTTATCCTAGGACAGTGTACAAAATCTTTTGGAACTTATCAAGTACAGGACTATTAAGTTCTCATGCTTAAGTTTCCTAACTGACTTGTAGACAGACTTGTAATCATGATAACACTCGAGTGGTATGTACACTATATACAGCTCTGAATACTTATATTAAGCCGTTTGGCTAGGTAGATTGAATGCAAGGGATATTCTGGAACATCGTTGCTAGCCTGTGAGCCTCCTTTTAAATGCCTATTCATTCGAAGAGATGGTATCTGGGGATGTGCTTAGGCTCGGCACACATTCTTTGCAAGTCGTGATTTGAATTCTCATCTCATGTTGGTGAGAGAACCAGAAATGATCAATGTTCCATGGATTTTTGGGGGCCAACCAGTTCAACTTCAGAATAGCAATCAAGTGTAGCAAGAAATTGATATACCTCAACCTGCATGCTGGATTAATCCTCTAATCGCAATACACAGTGTAGATGAGTGATGCACTACTCACTAAAGCAATGTTGCGGCCAATGCAGGTGCGTAGGCCTGAACCTTTGAAGGCCATATTATCAGAGTCGAGATAATTTGCTTTTTCGAAAGATTCTGTCTTTCCGGCTTAAAATTGCCTGGATCTTCCCACTAGATTTTCTTGTCTTTGTTCTTTGCAAGTGCAGATACTCCAACATAAGTACCCTCCGGTATGGTCTTTCCGTGTACTACCAACCGAGCAGGCGCATGTCTCAATAGCTGCTAGGTAATAGATAGCAACATTCTCATGGCTTTCTTTGTTGCTGCAACAAAGTTAGGCAGTCTTTAGGTCTAAGTGTAACTGATCGGTTCTTCCAAGCCGTAGGGCTCGTAGTAATCCTCAACTTCCCTCTGCACTTTCTAGTAAACCTTTGGGTGTTTGCAGAAGTAATATAGGCAAGTTCTCATGGAAATTGATGTTGTATCAGCACCTGCCCCACTCAATCATACTGTCAGGACCCTTTATATCAAAGTCATAATAATAACTCAGAGCCTCTCTAAGCAATGCACACCACGTGCTCCCCGATGATGATACCATTTTCTTCATGATATCAGGCTCATTTTTCTTCGGCAAGGCCTCCAAAGCAAGGAACTTTCAGATTTGATACGGCCAATCTTGTATCGAGTGATCTAGGCTTGGCATGGTGGTATTTGAATAAGAATTGGCGTGGAGTCGAAGCATCGCAGGCTCTGAACATGGCTTTCGTTCGTGCTTTGAAAAGTTCCAAATAACCTACCGTCCATATTTTCTGAGCAGTGAAAAATGACTTTTTTGGATTCGAGGTCTGACAGATACTCTATATACCTCGCTCCTGGCGAGATGCGGAAGGTTTGCAAGCCCTTTACAGCATACAGTACCATATTCGGCCAAGCCGTGAGGTATGAACATAGTCCCTCGGACAAGAGAATAATTACCGCACACGAGAAAGATCAGAGTATGAGGAGTTGACTGGGAATCAAATATGTATCTGGCTTCACGTGTCAGACTGAAGAGAAATGCTGAGCTTTCTCGTCTTGGTGCGTAAGCCTATATAGTCTGCAAAATTGCTTTTTGGTTTTCCATCACCACGCAGATACTTGAACATGACACTTTTGTCAAGATGCTTGCATTTTGCATCATATGCCAACAAGCTTCTTAAAAAATTGTTTAGTCTATATCATTCCAACCTCTAGAGTCTTGTGTCTACTGGCCTAGTCTAGACTGCCTTGAAATGAGGCGCATTAAGAATAATTCCCATGGAAAGACCTCCAATAGTACCGGCGATGGGAATTGTCATGATCCAGGAGAAGACTAATAGACCAACTCGCTGCCAGTTGATAGCCTTGTAAGTCCCATTACAGAGACCAACACCGACAGTGGCGCCAGTAATGCACATTGAAGTGGAGACGGGAAGGGAATATTGTGAGAAGATGAGGACAGTAAGTGCGGCACCCATCTCCATAGAGCAGCCTGTTACAAGTTAGTATATGTGAGATGCTGGTCATAACAGGGTGAAGTAGCGTACCTCTGCTAGGTGAGTGATAGGTGATTTTGTTGCCCATGACCTTCATGATATTGTAGCCATACGTGATAAGGCCCAGAGAAAGAGTTGCAGAGAGCACAGCAAGCTGCCAGAGAGGAACGGGTGCTTTGGACCGAGAAGCTTCACCAGTGTTCCAAGCACTGTAGATGACGGCCCAGGGTCCAACAGCATTACCAATATCATTAGCACCGTGTGCAAAGGATGCGGTGCAAGCAGTGATAACCTGAACGAAAGAGTATGTGTGCTCAACTTCGTTAGGGTATTTCTTGGCATGGCTGTAGACACGCTCCATGCGTTTTCCTTCGGGGGTACCATGAATTCCAGTCTGGGCAGCGTGAATGTCGTAGTTGATACCATAAAGAGCACCGACCATGATCATAGCGGGAATTCGTTTGACGGTAATGATCATGTTCTTTCTCTCGTATATTTCGCCACTTTCAATCTTGTTGTCGTGAAGGTAGCGCATAGCCCATCCAAGAAGGCCACGTTTAGCCCTGATTTTGGCGTGGAAGCGGTCCTGGCCTTGTTGGACAAGCTCTTTGTAGGTAAGCTGGTGATGTTCCTCGACAACAGTGCCCTTCTCAAACCCGGTAGCGGTGCCAGAGTCCGAGTCACTGTTGGTGTGCGCAACCGTGACGTCGTGATCTTCCTGTACAACAGCGTAATCGGGAACGACGACAGCTTCGGCGTTGTCCTGAGCAGGACGTTTGAATAAAAGCGGCCCCTGGATAACATGCCACCAGCGTACATTCGAGTCGCGCTTCACGACCTTGGCATGCAAGTATGGCACGAAGAAAATGAAAGACAGGACGGCGAGTCCGACACCGCAAGACATGGTAACAGTAGCGACATACCATGCTGGCTTCTTGTTGAGGCCAAGCTTGGGGGAGCCCTTGTAGACGACTGACAGGGTGCAGATGGTTCCTGCGACGAGAAAAAAGAAGGGTGCAGTCCAGATGGCCCAGGGAATGGGGTTTTTGCGGAGGTGTACTGTCAGTTTGATCAACATAAAGATGATAGCACCGAAGCATGCAGAGGCCAGAGGAGCCATTCCAAGACCAGCAAAGATGGCTCCGAGGCCTTTGCCCTTGTTCCATCCCCATTGTACTTCGGAAGCGCCGGCAACTGCAACACCGACACCAGCGACGGAGGAGATGAGCGAGTATGAGGAGGAGACGTGGGCAGAGTGCTTGGTGCACCACATGACCCATAGGGATGCACCGGCAAGCGCGCAGGTGAAGGCCAGCATCTGAACCCCGGCGTCTCCCTTGAAGGCGCTGGTAGGAATGATGCCGTTCTTGATCGTGTCAGCAGTACGGGCGCCGACAGTAATAGCGCCGACCATCTCGAAGATGGTGCCGAGAATCATGGCCTGGCGGTACGAGACTGAGCGCGAGGAGACGGATGTAGCCCATGCATTGGCGACATCATCTTGGTCCATATGATTAGCATTGTGTCACACGAGTCGGTTGCTGAGACTTGACATACTAGCACCGTTGTTGTAGGCATCTAGCATGGCAAAGAAGGTGCCAATGGCAAAAACATAGTTGTACTGTGTGAGACGGGGCATCTTGGCTGGGTCTCCACGAGGGAGACGGCACTCTGGCGGCGTGAGAAGTGCAGGCTTGAGGCGACGGTGGTTGGGTTGGCTATGGGGGGGAACCCGTGAGATGCGTTTATATACAAAAACATGGCGTTCCAGGCCATCTGGGGTGATTGTAGCCTGTGGGCAGCGGTCCATAGCCAAGCATCCGAAGACGCAAATCGTGGCCACGGAATGACATGCTCCATGAGGGAGCGACAGGCGTCACTCGGGAGCCAGTGAAAAGGCGCAACGTGAGAAGACAGGCCAAGAGAACGTGTGCACAACGCGGTGTTGTATTGGCCGGCTCGTATGCTGGCGGGGGACGTACGAGTATGTTTTGGTGGAGTCTGAGAGCCAAGAGAAATTAAGCCGAGACCAGAGCTTCCTCCGGGCCTTGGGCGGGGCTTGGCGGAAGCTTGCCAAGCCCCGCGATGCTCCGGCGGGCGCAGGCGATACACATGGCAGCGAGCCAATGGCAAGGCGCAGACCAGCAACGTGTGCTCACCACATCTGTCTGGCCGTGATGCTATCACGTGCCGATACACAGTCCTTCGCCGCCGGGCACGCTGGCTATCTGTATACTACGGATCACAAATGCATTCGCAATTACGTGTGCAATACTGCGCTCCTTTGTTCTGCAACTTGCACTTCCGACGGTTAGAATCCACTTTGTGTTGCGGCTACTCATAGTGAGCTTACTGCGGCCTGGCAATTGAAATAAGGGTTACAGTATGAGCCTTCAGGGCATGTATTGGCGGCAACGCCCAAAACAAATACAGTGAGAAGGTGGATAGGGCGCATGGTGAGAAAATGCCCGCTTCCATCGGCACAAAGGTTAAGGGTGGTGGAAAATACTCTCTATGGTACACACCATGTGTGAACTACTTATAGCCAACTAGCCGAAGCACACTCCCTCCCCTAATCGCAGCTTATGCTGAGAAATTTGATCATCTCTATTTTTTTAAATCAGAAGAATATTGCTCTCGTGGTTCAGAGTGTCAATGCGTCTGACTTCAAGCCGAGCAGTCAGACTACTTGACCTGCCTCTGACAAATTTGTATCAACCATGCGTGCCGCAAGCCGGATTGATAAATTTCCGGATAGCATTTAGCCCGTTCAGTGACGGCGAGCTAACGTCTTCAATTAGGTAGCTGACTCAGACCTTGTGCCTGCGCTCTCGTCAAATCTATGTGCGGCCCTTCTTCGCCCTCACCCAAAGGCACACTAGCCGCGTCGTTGCTATCTACCACTACCACCTGCGGCTTCAACTCGACATTCGCAGCCTTGTCTATATCGAACTCGGAACCTTGGAGCAGTGGACAGGGTGCAGCGTCATTAATGACGATACAAACGTCGCGGCAGCTGTCAAGACGACAAGGTTTCCAGCCGACCCCAGCTTTCCAAGTCTTGCGCATTAGGAATAAATTTAGCGCTGACAAGTGACTGTTGTACATGTGGTTTTTGATGTCTTGAGATGGGTATTTAGTACCTTCAGTGTGAACTAGTCGACATGGTGTTGCTCTAGATTTGTCTTTGGCTTGTGCAGTATCCCAAGTAATAGATCCTGTTTCTTTTCATCAAGGCACACAATTCTCTTTCTGATCTACTATCTTTTCTCGCTCTTTGCAAATGATCCACCAAAACCAACTGCTTGGCCCAACACTGGAAAATCGAAGGCATGGCAATCTGGGCATAACATCTGCCAAGCTTAGCGCCATTCAATATACTTCTGGGAACACAGCAGATTGTTGGGCATCACTTGGATTGCGGCGGTATGCTGCGTCTGATGGTGGGGTACTTACTTAACTCCGGTTGTACAGTAAGTAAGTAAAGTGGGGTTCAAGCTCCAGGATGGCTACAGAGAGATCCGGGCCACGTTAACCACCATCCGCATCCTGTCTGCGCGTAACGCACACATCTTCAGTGTGTAAAAGACTTCTTGGGACAGTCATGTCAAAAGCTGCATTCTTAGGCATCTACAAGACTACTCTGATTGCACCTCATTAGCACTGTAGACGTAGTTGTGTCATGTACCCTCTCTCTCTCTCTATTTGTACTCGTGTACTCTCCGCTTGACATTCAAGTCAGACAAGAAAATTATGTATGCTGATACAAACTTGCGTCTTTGCTCACCCACCCCGAGCTTTTCTAATAGTCCGCCTGCCCGCGTCTACCAGATCAAAATCAATATAAACCCATTGTTTTCTCTGCGGCTCCTGCCTCGGCGCTAACAAGTTGCCTTCTATCATCTTCTTTTCTAGCTTTGGGAAGCACATCCAGAGAAATAACAGGATTGCAAGCACAGCTAGAATAATGGGCTGTAGAACGCTCACACCCTTGGCTTGGGCCAAGGAACCAATGCCAAAAGGAAGCACGGCACCTCCTCCTCCGCCGAATGCAGCTGCAAAGCCAATTGCTGACACATGCAGGTACGGAGGAAGAACTTTAGTTGCTGCAACGATGATGGCGGGAAATAGAGGACCAAGAAAGAAGCCTTGGAGTGCGACAAAGACCGCTGACACGTGGAACGACGGGACCAGCCAAAACATTAACTGACATATTATGGCTGCAGCAATATAAATCTGTCAAACAATAAGCATTCTACTATGAATATTAGTCGAGCAGCATACTATTATTGCGAGTTTTTCGCCGAGCTTGGGGGTAATGAAGCCGAGTATAAGGCGGCCAACAGTAATGCCAGTCCAGAACCCGGTGGCTACCATACCAGACTCGAAATCGCTACCTGCACGTTCCCGTCGCATAAAGGTAACAATCCAGCCACCAAGAGCAACTTCCGCTCCGACATAACCAAGAAGAAATATGGACGCGACCCAGGTCACGCGGCTTTTGAGTGCTTGTCTCAGGCGGCTTCCCCCGCCTATAGTCGTCCGAGGGTTTTTTGCGCGATACACACGACCAGAGATTGGCCAGAATGCCCAAAGTGATGTCGCGAGCTCCATCACTGCGCCACCAAGCTAAACATGGTCAGTTACGCCCTTCTGGATACTTTGTGAGGCTTACCATGATATAGTAAAACTGGTACCATTGCCACTCATTCTTGGTGATAAGACTGGTTGCTGCGAGCGGGCTAAGAACAGCCCCAAGACCGTAGAGACCATGCAAGAAGCCAAGGATTTCGTTCGCATTCGCCATATTCCCAACCCAGGCATTCCATGCTGCGTCCAAGATGCCGTTTCCAAAGCCTGCAAAGATGAAGAGGACAACTAGCACAGGATACGGTGGGTGGAGTGCGATTCCAACATAGGCTGCAATGTGGCAAGTCGGTCCAAGGAAAGCGATACCCCGCTGGCCAAAACGCATATGGAGCCAGTTGTTCAGAAGAGCCGCACCAACATAGCCGCCTAGAGGCGAGAGAAAGACAAGCGATACTACGACATAGGTCAGGTCATAGTATTCCTCCAGGTACGGAATAATGGCCTGGGTAGTATTAGCAGGATGCACAGTTGAATTCCAATGAGACACCCACGCCATAAGCAGCATCGTTGGCGCCCATGATGGTGAAAGCGAACAAGGTAGCAAGCGTGCGAAAGATATTGGCTCGAGGGTTGTTCCATCGCTCTGTCACCGACACGGTGGTCGAGGGCTGTGGTAGGAACTCTACAGGATCGATGCATTCCGAGGTTTTGTCACCTAGCTGACGAGCTTGGCTACGCAGCGCAGCTTGATCTACAGGCTGCAATTCGATGTTCGGGTGCGAAATTCTATTCGTCGACGCGCGGACGGTTGCGGGAGACTGTGTGATGGTGTTAGTATGCGACATGGTGGTTGCTCAACTCGTGTTGACAAGACGCAACAATTGCGGATTCCAGCGATCAAGGGACATGTGCAACTTATACCCAGGCCGCACAACCATGTATTCCTCGCCCGCAGCATGTGGAGATGCTTGGCTCCGATTCCGTCGCGTCAATGTAAGTAAATGACGTCGGATGGGTAAACCTCGGGACCCCGGTGGGAGCGATGGAAGCAAAGCACTAACCAGATGGAGCGGTAGAATGCGAAAAGCCCATGAGCGCGAAGGCTTTCTACGCGAGTCATCTGCACATGTGCTCATGTCACAGTCAACGCTTGTCAACATGGAAAACAGAAATGGCTCGCACGAGTCAACATCTTTTGGAACTACGCATCGAGGAGTTACGAATACACGGGACTATATGTGGCCCGGATAGCCGCCATTGCTGTAAGTTGATTTACTCGTCCTAACTCGACTCTGGCATGACTCGGAAGCGCCCTCAAGCCAGACTTGGATACACAACAGGGCTCTTGTAGCCATTTTTGCCGACTGCCCTAACACCAAATATGACATTGTCTTTGGTGAGGGGAAGAATTGCATTTCCTGCCTTACCTACATCAACGGCGTGGGTCCACAAGCTAGCTGTAGTTGGTCGCCAAACAACCTCATAGCTTGCCACATCGGGGCTGTCGGATGCAATCCATTGAATTCGCGAGTTGTTATCAAATATGACCGTGTCTATGGTGACGTTGCGCGGCATTCCAGGAGCTTGCGAGAGCGACCAGAGAGTTGCAAGATTGACTTTGCCAACACGTGCCGTATACTCAAAATCAACAAATTCAATCCGATCCCCATAAACAGTGCCATTTTCTGTGCGCACATCCTCATGTTGGTGAGCAAAATTCTCGTTGGGCTCGGTGTAGCGAATTGCAGGATATCCAGCGCGAAGGAATCCGGTGTGGTCACCACCGCGGAGGAAGCGATCCAGTCGATAGATAATGGCAATGTTCATACCGGTGGCATCGTTGGCAGCAACTTCGGCCGAGAACCGGGCCAGCTCTCGCGCAGGGGTGTCGTTTTCGCCGCCCATCTGAAGGCGCAGAGTAGGAGTAAGATAGCTCTGGCCTGTGAGTGATATTCCCTCGGCAAAAGCGCGAACGGTATAAGGGTCCTTTTGACCACGGTCGCCAGTTGAAGAGCCAACAATATCGCAGTTTAGCATACCCTCGACATTTGTGCTAGCATTCTTCAGCGTGTTGGCAAAGTGAGTAGAGCCATAGAGGCCTTGTTCCTCGCCAGAGACAGCCCCGAGAATAATGGTAGATTCGGGCTGATGCTTGGAGAGTATACGAGCCATCTCCATGGCGACTGTTCGGGGTCAATCCTTTGTATTTGTGGGGAAATGTAGGAAGCACTTACTAGCTGTTCCACTGGCGTCGTCATTGGCACCTGGCGAGTCGGCTTCGTAGTTGAGAACGTCTGTGACCCGGCTGTCATAGTGGCCAGTCATGACATAGACTCTACTTGGATCCTCACTTCCTTTGACGGTTGCTAAAACATTCGAAATGGTCACTGGGAACGGGATCCTGGTGGCCACGCCTTGAAGGTAACTTTGCACCTGGACCGTCATGGTACCGTTACTCTCGTCAGCATACTTTTGCATTCCAGAGGCAATCCAGTCCCTCGCAGCATTGACACCACGTGTTGAGCTGTTGTACGTGGCGAGCGTGTGGCGGGTTCCAAAAGAGACGAGCTTCTTGATAGTAGCTTCGATATTCGCAGCGCTCACTTGATTCAACATGGATCGCATTTCCGCATCCGGTGCTTGCGGGACGAGCTCAGTCCCGACGTCCGAGGGAGGCCATGCCGCGTTTGCACATTTGGTGTACGATTCATCGTTGACTGCCACTAGGGGCGGAAGATTGCGTTCATGGATATCGTGCGCGGATGCTCTATACAAGAGCGCAGCAGTGTACAAGACGGACAGGTATTGCATGTCGAAATTATGAGGGAATCAAGTTGCAGCCATCCAAGGCTCTCGCCGTAGGTCTTTATACATAAGGGCAACATATCAGGAGACTGGGCGAAGGACATGGTGTCGTAATATTGGGCCGCCGTGCGGGGGAGCGTACATTGACATGTTTTATGCAAGCCTTCTGTGCCGGCTAGAGGGTCCAATCAACAGCACCGGTGTCTCGTCGTCTTATGGCGGTTCCTGTCGGCGGGCGGGGGGGCAGCGACTCGACGGGGGCAAATACCCAGCCTTTAGTAGGCATGGACCTGGTACTTAGTTCTCGGATAGGCAGGAGGCGAGCACGGCGACCTCAACAGGCAATGCACTGACGCTCGACTGGGCGAGGCCGGGAGCGACGATGAGGCGAGAGGTGCGGCGCAGGTGTAGCGGCCAACGAAGAGAAAGAAGGAAGTGTGGTTGGAGTTGGCTGGAAGAGGGAAGTGGAAACATTGTTCCGGCTAATACAAATGCGCCCACCCCCGTGCACGTGCCGCCATGGTGGGGTGGAGTGGGGTAGGGGGGGATGGGTGGGGGTCAAGGCATCCACATCTGCCGGGGCTAGCCAGAAGCAGCCTAGCGTGAGAATGCGCCGGCGAGCTCTGAACAGTTGAAGCCAATGCCGGCCATGATGCAATCTGTCAAGTCCCCAGCACGTGAACGTCTGCCTGCGAACAGGCAACGGCACAATACTTACTTGTAGCTGCTGCCGCTGCTGCGACTCTCTGACTACGCCGTCTCTCTCTCTCGAATTTGCCCCCCGCCCAGCAAGTCCGCAATGGTTGGTCTCCTTACGCATGCATACATATGATATTAGCCCAGTGCACACTCACGTCGCAAACAGAACGCCCTCTTCAACTCGGCCCTCCGCCAATCCACGTCGATACGAAAGGACCTGGACCAATTTGCTGATTCAGCGGCCCCTTCGCCCCACCTCCAGGCCCAGCTCAATGCCTCTCTCACAACCTTTGCGCGCACCATCGATGACTATGGCAAGCTCGCCAGACAGGAGCCGGTGCAGACCAAGGCGGAGAAGGCGCAGGAGAGGCTAAAGACCTTCAGGGCCGAGCTGGACGAGTACCGCGCAAGCTTCAAGCGCATCAAGAGCGCCAACGAGGACATTGTATGCTTCCAGACGCACATCCCACGTCGCATGGCACTGCTTACACGCTTCGACAGCAAACCATCCAAGCGCGCACCGAACTCCTAGGCCGCCGCCCTCACAACACAGCAACGCCCGAAAACCCATACGCACAGTCAAACCTCGCCGCCCAGCATTCAGCATTTGCCCCCTCGCAGCCCTATGACCCCAACGCCCCTTACCGCCCAAACCCATACTCGGCCGGCGCACCCCAAGGCGGCGAGTATGACCGCGAGGGCCGCGTCCTGCGCGAGAACACCTTCTTCAACAAGACTTCGGACCAGCTGGACGAGTTCCTGGACAGAGGAAGGGCTGTCTTGGGCGACCTACACCAGCAAAGGGACATGCTCAAGGGTACTCAGAGGAGGCTATACACGGTTGCTAACACGCTGGGCATCAGTGGAGACACCATACGCATGGTTGAAAGGCGCGCAAAACAGGACAAGTGGATATTCTGGGGCGGCGTTGTATTCTTCTTTCTCTTCTGCTGGTTGGTGATACACTTTTTGCGGTGAAGAGCGCGGGAAATGGCTGTTTCTCTTTTTGTTGCAAGAGACGCATCAGGCCCAGCAAGGTGTTGGGCGCCTCGAATCAAACAAAGGCACTCACGGCTATGATTTGCGCGGCAAGAGTTTGTTGCCGCGAGACGTCAGGTTACTTCCGCTGTGTTGGGGTTTGCTAATTGACTTCTGCTGGGCGCAGCATTGGCAACTCGAGATTACTTGCTAGACTGCTGTATGACTGCCCTAACGTGGACAGTTCGCTACTAATTGGCGTAAAGAGGGGACTAGCTGAACATGACCTAGATACCCAAATGGACTAAGTATTGTAAATTATACCAGGAAAACCAACATTCACCACTACAACAATGGATCTTCCCACGCGTCCAGGGAGAGATAAGCAATTTCCCGCAAGAATCACGACTCTTGATCAGACCAACCAAACCCCAATCCTTGTCGGTCAAAATGGACAATGTATGAGATAATTCAACTTTCCGTCGACATTGTCTAGCTTGTCGTTGATCTCCCGCTGCTGATGTTGAATGCTGTTAAGCTCATCAAAGTACTCGTCTCGCGGGTATCCAGCGGGCGAAATCATTGGAAGTGGCCAAGCCGAGCTTCGATACGGCGGCGCCACGAGTCGAATTTCTGCATTCCGCCGATGCCGCACCACAGGCGCTGATCTCGCTCGATGGCCTGGACATGGGACCGCCAGGTTCCGCAATGGTCGACCGCGAGGCCACTCCACATAGGGCACTAGTGCTGGGCGGCAGGGATTCAATGCTGCATCTTCGACTCGCTGAAGCTTTGCTGCCGCCGTCTTCCAATCTGGGACGTACTCGAATTTCTCGCACTGCCGTATCCTCTTCGCAGCCGTGGCCCAGAAGCGCAACAGTGCTTCGGCTAGGAGCGTGGATTCAAAGTCCAGTGCCACACACACGAGTACAATGAATGTGTGCCGCGTCTGTTGAAGGCCCCTGGACTCCCATGGGTTATTGATACACTCCACCTCAAGCTGGTCCGTCAGGCGATCACAAAGACGTTGTCGAGTGCCGCCGTCGCCGTGCTGAGCCTGAGGCCCGAGGATGCCAAAAAGGTGTTCCAGCGTCTTCTCAATCCAATACTTCTTGATGCCGAATCGTCCACTGAAATGATCGTCCAGCCTTTGTACCAAGACGTCGCCTTGTATCCAGAACTCTGCTCTTATCCGGGGAAACCATGCGCGGAACGTCCTTGCGTCCACCCATATCTGCTTGTGGCCGAGGTGAACTTTGATGCTCTCCATACTTGCGTCTAATCACCGTGCCAATCACCAAGTGCGTGTCGTCGTTAGAGGATACGGTTGCAATTTGAGTTGCTAAAGTCTTCAAGAGAATGGCTTTGCTGTAGTATATCAGCAGCGAGCGTTATATATGCCTCATACAGTGCGAGCATTATGCTGTGCAGAATGCGGGTGGCAAACCATATTGCATATCTAGCGAGCTCAGCCATACCTTTTGTTACACGGCTCACAGAAAATGTTTGCTTGCAACGACATCTAAAGAAACGACTATTGGAGTGTTGGGTTCTAATAGGCCAACTAGTTGAACACGTCAGTCGATCCTCAAAGGAGACCTTTCCACGATAGGTGAATTCAGCAGGTTCATGATCACAGCCACACTACTGATACCTGTCGGTGAGGATTGTGCAACTCTCAGAACAGCATGTCCAGGTCAGGCGCCCACTCTTCTTTCTTGACCATGGACCTGCCATCTTGTTACTCAAGCAGGGTGAACAAGTTCCCAAACCATCAGGCTCCAGCACAAGAACACCACTGAGGCTGAGTACGCACTAGTTGCAAGCAGTATCCATAAAGGCAAACTTTTCCTCGGGGAGGCTGTGCTGCAGTATCTGAGCAAACTGCTGACGCAATGATGAGCCTATATTTCTAGAATGTCACACCAATTTGAGTGCCGGACATGGCGTCTCTCATCAAGAGGCATACGAACCAGTCGTTCGGTACTACCTCAGAAATATGAGAAACCTCTAGGCAATTCGATGCCGAGGAGCTAGGCCAGGCAAACCATACCATTTGGCGAGTGGCGAGTGCCTTATGTTTTAAAATTCTTCAGGAATAGTTCAACGATATGCGTATCACAGAGCAGGCATGCCAGACGGTGTCTTCGCAAAGGTACTTCCTGTGCCAGAGGGAAATATTCGTGTTTCAAACGTTTTCTGGTATAACAAAAATCAACGTTGTCACTTTTTCTGAGCAAGTCAGCGCACGATCCAGTACCAGTCGAGAGCTGCTTCTAGGTGCTTTTGCGCATCTCTTTTCTAAGGCCCAGCGACATGAATAGCGCACCACAAAAAATGGGTAAGAGAATTAGGCAAGAAAAAAAGAAGCTTGTGTTGGGTCTAATCATGGGAATCATATACAAGTCAGAGAAAAGCCCGCTGCAGCAATCACGCTCACGCCACTCGCCCCATCTACCAATCCAACCCACCGGCACCTCTTTCGCCTCCCGCCAAAATCTGTGCCGCTTTACCCTTCTCCCCCAGTCCTCCCTCCAGATGTGAAACCTGCAAACCCTTTCTGCCCTTCAGCTGCATCCTCTGCAACTTTTTATCCAGAGCTACAAAAGGATCTTCCGTCTCGCTCTTCTTAATCTTGAATTTACTCGTACCCAGTACGCTATCCAGTTCCTCTACACTCGGTAGCTTGACATATAGCCAGCCATCATCCCTCTCCTCGATGGGGAAAACAGCAATGTTGACGGATTCATCGTTTGCGCATTTACCCGCATTGTCGCCAGAGAGCTCATAGTTGCGCTTGTGGTAGGGACATGAGACCCAGAGTTTGTTGTTTGCGAGGTCATCGCCAATGAGGCCGTCAGACAGGACGAAAGCGCGCTTGTGCGGACACATTTGCTGTGTGCAGTAGTATTTCCCGCGTACTTTGAAGACTGCAAGTTGGGTGTCGCCGCGTTTGATGGCTTTGCTGTCTCCCGTGTCGGCGTCCTTGAACTCCTCCGCTTTGACAAGCGGTTGCCACGATAGCTCAGTCCACTTTGTTCCGCGGAAATCCTTGGTGACGGAGTCTTTTGGCCAATATGAAGGTCGCTCCTGACCGCGCTCTTGTGTAGGCTCAATCGTGTCGACAATGGTTTCCGATGTGTTTGCAAATTGAGAGAACCAGGATCGCTTCTTAGGATCTTTCAGCACCTCTGTCCATTCGCAGAAAAAGGTACCGACAAGATCTTCCATCTGCTTCTCTAGATCTGCGCAAATGCCCAGCTTGTCTTGTAGAATGACTTCTTGCAGGTACTTGATGCCCCCAGGGAGATTCTCCATCCAGCGAGCTGTTCGTTGCAGTTTGTCAGCTGTGCGGATGTAAAATGCAAGATAACGATCGAGAATGGGGACAACGTCATCCGGTGGTACATCCTTTGCCAGCAGTTCCGAGTGTCTGGGCTTCGCACCGCCGTTACCGCCAACGAAGATGTTGAATCCTTTTTCTGTAGCGATGAGGCCGAAATCCTTGTTCTGGGCCTCTGCGCACTCGCGTACACAGCCTGACACTCCGCCCTTGATCTTGTGGGGACCGCGAATAGACTTGTAACGCTCTTCCAAACGCACAGCCATACCCACACTGTCACCAATGCCAAAACGACACCAAGTAGTTCCGACACACGACTTGACGGTTCGGAGTGACTTTGCATATGCATGGCCAGACTCCATGCCACCATCGATGAGCTCTTGCCAGATATCTGGAAGGTCTTGTTTTCGCGCACCAAACATGTCAATGCGCTGGCCGCCAGTGATCTTGGTATACAGGTTGTATTTCTTCGCAACAGTTCCGATGACGATGAGCTTCTCTGGTGTGATTTCGCCACCCGAAACACGCGGAACAACGGAAAATGTGCCGTTGCGCTGAATGTTGGCCAGGAATCGATCGTTGGTGTCTTGTAGACCTCGGTTGTTCACCTCAAGTAGGTGCTTGTTGTATAACGAAGCAATAATGTTGCCAATGGTCGGTTTGCAGGCTTCGCAGCCCAGCGAGTTTGGCTCTTTGCCAGCCTCCTTCATTACGGCAGCAAAGTCCTTCAACCCTTTGACATAGATGATGTTGAAAAGGTCGGCGCGCGAGTACTCAAAGTGTGGGCAGAGATGGTTCTTGACCTCATTTCCCATAGAAGCCATGGTCTTGTTAAAAATGGTTTGCACAAGTGGCATGCAGCCGCCACAACCGGTACCCGCCTTGGTGCAAGACTTTACGTCGCCGATGCTCTTGCAAGTCCCGTTTTTAGTCGCATTGACAACATCACCTTTAGTGACGTTGTGACATGAGCAGATCTGGGTGTCATCGGTGCTGTACGGCGTTAGTGAGGGCATTCCGTGAAGATTGCTTGCACACTCACAGATCTGAGCCATCGTCTTCACCCTTCTGAGCACCAACAATGAGCTCGCTGGGGGCTACTTCAAGCGGCTTCTGGTTCTTCACCATGGGCACAAGCTTGATGTAGTCCTTGGTATCGCCAATCATCATGCCACCCAGCAGATACTTGCCGTCCATTGTGAAAAGGTATTTCTTGTACACTTGCTGAAACGGGTCCTTGTAGGTAAGCGCCTTGACAGGCGGTGGTGCCGGGCCATCCGTCAAATTCTTTACCCGATCTCTCGTACTTGTCACGTTCGGCTCCTTGCTGTCGGCGCGCTGGCGTCCAGGCATGTTCTTTGGCCCATCGCGATCGGCGAAAAAATCACCAAAACTGGCAACCTCGACACCCAGCAACTTGAGTTTAGTGCTGAGATCTGGAGCCTTGAATTTCCGAGGCGCATGTGCTTTCGCTTGGGTTAGATTGAAGGCGAGTACGTCAGCCATCTCGACGCCAGGAGCAATAAGGCCAAACGTTTGGTTCTCCCAGCTTGCGCACTCACCAACGGCGTAGATGTCGCGTTGGGATGTTTCTAGATCGGGTCCGACAATGATGCCACCTCCTCGGTCAGCGCATTTGATGCCTGCTTTCCGTGCAAGCTCGTCTCGAGGTTTGATGCCAATCTACAAGTATTAGTTTCTACCTTTTATTGCGTGAATGAACAGAGTACTCACAGCAAAGCAGATGCAAGAACACTCCATCTCGTCGCCGTCCTCAAACACGACGCCCTTGACGAAATTATCCTCGGTCGTTAATATCTTGCCCACCCTCTTGCTGAGCATGACATCAAGACCGAGAGCCCGTACTTGCTCGACAACCATACCGCCAGCATCGCCATCTAGCTGTCTCGACAGCACCCATCGGTTTCTCTCAATCAACCTGACTTTTGCAAAGTCCTCAAGATCTATCATCGCATGGGCTGCCTCAAGTCCCAGCAAGCCGCCGCCCACGACAGCGCCCGTTGTGCCTTTGCGTGTTGAAGAGAACTGAATCAATCGTTGCAAATCCTCGATTGTGCGGTATACAAATACACCGTGCGCGTCATGGCCAGGTGTGTGTCGGGGAAGTAGCGCATCTGATCCTGTTGCCAGAACCAAGATGTCATACGAAACAGTTTCTCCTGATGATGTCTTGACAAGCTTGTCCTCAGAGTTGATTTCAGTAACCAGTGTGTTGAGGTGGTAACTCAGTGAGCCTTCTGGCATTGCTGTGTACTGCAAAAAAAATCAGCTACAGTTCAGTTGTTCTGGCTACATGGCAACATACCCATTCTCTAGGGTTGAGGTACAGGTTTTCGACGTTGCGATGTTGGAAAAAGCTAGTCAGGCCAACGCGGTTGTATGCGAGATGCGGCTCTTCGCCGATAACGACAATATCGTATTCTCTCCGCTTGACATCGTATTTCATGAGTTTCTCACTGTATCGGGTCAGCTGCAATACGCGCTTTCGGTCGAGTGGCGAACTTGCATGAAGGCAATGCCAACCATGCCTAGTCCGACAACCACGATTCGTTTCCGCGGGTGGTCAGAACTGATTTCGCCCTTGCTTTCCAAGTCTGCTACTTTCTCAGGTAGCCTGTTGGCTTCTGCGTCATTCCACTGCGCATTAGATATGTTTCCATCTTTTGATCCCCAAGTTGCCGTGACGTGATGGTCACCTGGTGGTGAGTGCGATCCGCCAGATGAGGGCTCAATGTCGTTCGCAACAGCTGTTTCTGTCTCCGCCATTGTAGCGGAAAGGAGAGTCTCGGGCAAAAAACCGTTTGTCGTACTTGGCTGATGTCAGGCGCAGCAAGTGGTGCGCACAAAAAGGGCGGGAATCGTGTACTCAATCAAGAGGGCACGCAATCACAGCCGCAAAGCCTCACGGAGCAGACACGAAAGAGTGAAAGAAGAATCTCTAGTTGCTCGTAAGCAAGAGAAGAAGTCTGTCCAGTGAAGCAGACTTGTAAAGTCCAAAAGACGAAATACACGGCCACGGCTGGCTTCCCTTGGGCAACGCGCCCAATGGCCTAATTCGACAAAGTGTTAGCAGCCGATAAACCCAACCACCATGTTACTCATTGCCTTCAGCCATGTTCCAATCAGCGCCGCCCCGCGGTCGTCACGGAAATGCATGGTACCGCAGATCATCGGGGGCAGACGTTTCGCAGAAAGCAGCGCTGTCCTGGCATCTCCGGCGCAGACGTCAAACCGCTGCTGGCGAGCAAGGGGGGCATGGATATGGCGAGCACGCCAGCCAATGAGAAGCCCACGGGAAAAGTCGAGCAGGTCGTTGGCGAAGATGGTCAGAGGTTTCGGTGTTGGGTGGTTCTCCGTGGAGATCAGATGCAGTGTTCGCGCGGGTGTGTGTGGAGACGGGCGCAGTGTGGGATTTTCTCTTATCGCGAGCTAGAAGGCTTGGCGGCAGGGGGCGCACTTGTCGGGTGAAGTGTTATCTCTCTGCGCTGCGAGCATGACGGAGATGCACGGCATCGAAGTGGCGTTTCCGGTAATACATGACATTGACATTGTCCCTCACTTGGTAGTCCCGGGAGAGCGGGTTTGACGTGTGAGGCTGTGGGTTGTCGGGAGTTGGGCGGCAGTTGGGTGTGAAGAGGCCATTCTCCTCATGTCACGTGCCCTCGGGTCACGACAGTAAAGTTATCCGCGTTTGCATACACCTAGTGTGAATACGAGAGTAGTCGGAATGCCAAACTATTGCCCGGTTGGAACGTCTTTTGCTCCACGGCTCCAAATCTGACATCATTCCACAACACGAAGTAGTAGAGATCTAGTCCTAACATTGTGAAACCATCGCCCATCATCCGCGTGTCTTATTTCCGTTCTCTGCTCTATAGGACAGCCCTAGGCTAATCTTCATTCCCTACATTACAATTCTACAAACCGAGATAGAAACGGAAAACAACAGGAACCCACAGTGTAAAAGCAAGTATTCCCCATCACACCTAGAAAAACATAATGTCGTCTTCTCTCCACCCCTGCTCCACCAATGCCTTATGCGCAGCCTTCTCCAGCGCCTCAGGCCCACATATCAACACCAAACTCTCGCCCTCTTCCTTCTCCTCTCCCCTCACACAATGCTCTTTCAACAGCGGCGCTGCAATTCTCCCTCTGAGACCTTGCCAGTCCTCGGGTCCCTGTGTCAACGTGTACAACATCTTACACCTATCCTGGTTGTTTCTCGCAAACCCATCTAGATCTTCTCTGCAGAGTATGTCTTCCACGAGCCGGTTGCCATTCAGCACCGTGCAATGCGTCGGATCTTCCGCATCCTGCATTACGGCCCGCAGAACCTGGAAAATGGGCGTTACGCCGCTACCGCCACAGATCATGAAGAAGCGCTGCACTCGTCTCTGCTTGCCGTTGACCGAGCAGAGCCCCCGGCCAAGGTACTCGAATTTGCCAATGGGGCCTTTGAAATCGACCCAGTGGCCCACGGGAATCGCGTCGAGTGCTTTTGTCATTTTGCCCCCGACGCGGTCGGGTGTGTCTGCGTATACTTTGATGAGCACGTCACAGTAACCCTTTTGTGTTGTCTGGGATATAGGCGTGTATGAACGGATGATGGCTTCTCTGGTGACGGGATCGCGAAGACGGATCATGAGGTGTTGGCCTGTGGGGAGACCAAGCGCTTGCTCTTCGTGGTCGAGCTTGAAACGGAAGACGCGCGTGTCCCACGAGACCTTCGTTTTGGAATGTAGCAGTGTTTTGCGCCATTCGCGCGGGTTCAAAAACATGGGTCGTGGCTCGTTGGATTCGGTGCTCGGTTGACCTTCTGCTAACATCTTGCGAGACACTTCGTCTAGGGTGCCAATATGGTATTCTGGCATCATGGCTTTTGCTGTTTCACTATCTGCTTCTTGTTATTTTGTGTGCTTGAATCTTAGTCTCGTTTTCTGACTTACGAATCGCCATGAACTCGTCTGTAGCATCCAAGCCCGCGGCGCTCACGATGCTTTGCGCACCACCTGGATGCCCTTCTAAAAATGCAGTCCCGTCGTAGACCTCGCCATTCACCACGAACCATGGGCTTTCGGCTTTGTCATGCTTCCGAAGCTCATCAATGCCAATGACATTATCAACGCCATCCTTGGTCATCTTGATCTCCTTTACCTCTTCAACATCGGCATGTTGTGGCTCTTCACCGCCCATCTTTTCTCCCCAGTGACCGTTGGTGAGATTGCCACCGGCCTTCTTGACACGCTCCATCCATCCTCCCGGCATCAGAGCAGGTTGGGTAGGGTGTTCAAACTGCAGTGTGTCGCCCTCTTTGTTGATTGCTATCCGGAACCACGGGTTATTCATCATGCCCAGGACGCTCCAGTACATGTCCCTTGGTTGCACGCACATGGCTTCATCCATCACTCGTACCACAACATCGTCTGCTTCTTTGAGTTCGGCAGTAGGAATTTCAAGATTCCAGAAGCACCAGCAGAAGCTCGTCTCGCGCCAGTCCATGTCTAGTCTTGAGCCATATAGCTGTCGATCCTCAAAAGCCCGGTACTTGTCTTCTGCGTAGTCAATGTTTGCAAGTCGCCACGACTTCCCTTTGTCCAGGGAGACTTCGCAACGTGCAACGCGCCGTCCGCCGCCACTGTAAGCATAGCCACGCACGTTGTAAGAGGCCGGGCTCGAACTAAGGGTCAACTTCTCGCCATGCTCGGGGAATGCAATGGCCGAATTTGGTGAAAGATCGTAAATAGCATAGCGTTCATCCATCCACCACTTGGGATTCTTTGCTGCCTCGTCGGGGTCGACCGTTGTGCTGGGTCATGTTAGAATAGCTCTGTCGTCACTGGCCATGTTACATACGGTAATACCCTGTTGTCGTAGATGTGATACCAATTGTCGCTAGGTTCAGCAGTAATGATCAGCTTCTTCAGCCACTTGACACTTCGGCCACCAATCTGACCCGGTATCACGGCTCGCAACGGTTTCCCGTGATCAGGTCTCAACATTTCGCCGTTCATCTTATGCGCCAACATGATTCCTCGATTCGGGTCCATGGCCCAATTTAGTTTGACCGATGTGCCGTAGTATCCGTTAGGCTGGGCAACTTGTTAGTTGTATGAACAGCGAAAGACTTCTTTGCACTTACGAGCTTGTCGGCGCCCTCCATACAAACATACTTCGCTCTCCGCAGAGGCTTCGCTCGCTCAATGATATCTTTCATGACTACACCAGTGAAGAGTGCAGTCGAAAGACCAGCTGGGCCCCACGAGAAGCCTTTACTTTTCCTCACAACATTTTGCTCTTTTCGTCTGTTGCCAGCACAGACGAGCGTAATGGGATATGTCACGTTCTCGTATTCTTCCAGCAGTTGGCGTAGTGTAATCTTGAGGGGGTTTGCAACGAGACTAGATGAATCTCAGTATCAGAATTTTTATGTTAGTGTTGAAGACGACATACCCTTCCACTGAGAATTCCCAGTCCAAACATTCAGCATCCTGAACTTCTGGTACTGCACCATGATTTCTAACGTAGAACAGTTCTGGGCTTGTCAGGAAGCCCTCATTAAACAGATCGGTTAACGGTGCTTCGACATTGAACGGGTGGACACCCGTCAACCGGATTAACCGAGGGTCTCGTGGGACATGCGCATCCGGGGTAGGCTTGTCGATGTCTAGAACTTGTGGTGGAGTATTTGCTGGTGGAGGAAGTGGAAAGTCTGGCTCTAGGATGGCTGAGGTAGTGGATTCGCTATCGTCGCCATGCACAGTCTCTGGTGGCGATGGTGGTAGCTGTCTTGATTTTGAAGCAGCATAAGGTTGTGGCTGGTGCTCATGAACAGGCGGTATGGGGACTCCCGCTGAGCTTTCGGTGGCTACGCTCATGGTGTGCGACTACAGTACCTAAACTTAATTGACTCCGACAGATGGGGATGGTGCTTGGGTTGAGTACACTGGGAACAATAAGAAACACACAATTATGAAAAGCAATGAAGCAGGTGAACAGACCGGAACGGCGAAATGAGCCTGCGTGTCTGAAGTTATTGACGTTAGGCTAGGTATAGCTTACAGAATGCTCCTGAGGCGCGAGTGTATCAGTCTCATGCTAGTACGTAGAACAGGCCGTCTTTGCGCCAATGTCGGCAGCTGGATTGCAACACCGCGGAAACTCGTCTTCGATCTGTGAGGATGCCATCAAACCCTGCATGGCGTCATCATCCTCGCTATCATCACGGGTCCAGCTCTGATCATCTCGAATTACCATAGACTACCATATGCGACCTTATCTTTTATGCCGAAACAGGGATAGCGTGTCATGTGTGTGTGGCGACAAAGTAAGCAATTTCTATGCAGCTAAGCAAATGTTCCTGGCCGGACCGTACAGGGCGCCTCAGGTGTGGGGGTAGTGTCGTGGGCATGTGGGCCCGCCTCTCTGCAGCGGAGATGCATTATTTGAGTTTGCTTAATCCCGCCAGGCATTTGCTGAATCCGCAGCATATCGCAATCTTTCACTCTGGTCAAATTACCCACTCAGCCTCATATCGTTTCATAGTGCCGTCCGGATGACTTTGCGCGTGACAAAGGCATTCGTGCTGGAGCCAGTTTTCCCATTTCCGCGGGCCCGTGGCCGATGAAAGCGAGCACGGTAATAGAATTCATGTTTGCTTTGCGGAACACCAAACGTTCCACGCAAAGTCGGACGGACTTGATCCCATGCTGAATTTGTGGGAAATAGCCCGAGTCAAAGAAACAACTTGGTCGATTCTTGACCCGAATGGCGGCGACTGTTCTGACCGCTTGATAGAGGCAGCGTGTGCTTCTCCGCGGATAACAGCGCAAACAGCGCGTTTCGGCGGCACTAGTCGTAAGCGCTGGGCAACCTTTAGCAGTCGCCCCCATCATTCTCAACTGACAAGATATCTATCCACATTCATCCAAGAAGCTTCTCCTTGAGCGTCTGGCCCTGTTCTTCCAACGGTCCAACTTGTACTCGGCCCTGCAGGCGCTGCTGCAATGTCTCTGCGCGAGCCTTCATACGTTGTTCCATTCTCTGCTTGATGCCGGCTTTGTCATAGCGACCCCGTACTCCATGTTTGATGCGTGTAATCATATCAGCTGCCTTGCCTTTTGTGAGATCGCTCGGCTGCAAGTGGTCTTCTCTAGGTCGAGACTTGTTAATGAAGTCGACCTGTGCTTGTGAAGCAGTACGTCTTCGCCACGACTGATTTTTGTTAATCCAAATGTGTTGGAATACATCAGCCGCGTATGTATCAGCCGCATGAACGACATGGCCAAAAGACTCCCCTTCAGCAATGACCCGCGGTGTGCCGTAGGGGCTTTTTGTCACTTTGGAGGCTTCCAGCTTCCAATGATACTTTGCTTTGAAGAAACCCTCTTCAGCGTGTGAGGGCTCGATAACGAGGTAGTTGCCCGTATTTCCGTTGAGGACATACCTGCCCTCACCCACGCCGACCCACGCATTGGGGCTCAGGTTGCGTATATATTCGTCGCCGGAAGTGTCGGCTATCAGGTCATGTACCGAGTCGTATTCAGTGAAGGAAATGGTGCCAGGCAGTTTCCTGGCGATGGTCTTCTGCTTGAGCGCGGCTACCTCTTCCTCCCTCTGCTTTTCTGACTCTCTTGCTTCTCTAAGCTTTGCCAAGGCTTTTGTGTCTGCCTTTTCAACAATCTCGGCAGGATCCAAGCCAAACAACGTGGGTGTTGAGACGACTCCAGTACTCAAGGCAGAGACCATGTCAATGACGTGGCAGTTGTCTTTGCCCCCGTATAGGCGCATGCCACGTCCAATCATCTGGACAAGCAGGTTTCGAGACTTTGTGGGTCGGGCCAAAAGCACGCAGTCGATGTTGGGGATATCTGTACCCTCGGTGAAGACGCCACAGTTGAGCAGCACAGGAAACTCTCGATTTCTAAAGGCATCGATCCTTGCGCTGCGGATCTTGGTAGGCGTGTCTCCCGTGACAAATTGCGCGTTGATTCCAGCCTGGCGGAACAGGTTGGTGACATTGGTGACATGGCTGAGATCAACGCAGAAGATGAGGGTGGAGTGTCGATCCCTTGCCTTGGTCATCCATGTTTTGACGACCAGGTCGTTTGTTTCATCCGTGTTGATAGCCTTGGAAAGGGCTCCGGTCTGGAAATCGCCATTAGCTCCAGTGCCTACTTTAGTCAGGTCGGCTTTGATGTCGACGGTGGTAAAGATGACGTCGGATAGCCAGTTTTCCTCGATCATGTCCACGTAGTCACTGTCTAGATCAGCTTAGGCCCGGCTTGTGGCTGGCACAGACATACCGGTGGTAGACGATGTGGTCAATGGCGGCGCCTAGTTTCTTGCCATCGAAGCGGGAAAAGGTGGCCGACACGCCCACCAAAGCGGGAGCGCTCGTCTTGCTCCAGTCGGTGGCATGCCGCAGCCCAAAATGCTCGAGGACATCGAGATACGACTGGCTGACAATGTGATGGGCTTCATCGACCAGCACCAGCTTGTATCGTGAAGGGTCGAACTTGCGCAGGCGATCCCCGGATGTGATGCTTTGTATCGAGGCAACAGTGATGTCGGCCGCGCCCGAGGCCTGGTGGCTGCCCATTTCGATGTCGACATGCTTGTCGGGGTATACAAGGGCGCAATGGCGGGCGGCCTGCTCGACGAGTTCGCGGCGGTGGGCGAGGATGAGTGCCTGCGAGGCATTGCCGGTGGCGGGGACGCGGTCGATGAGGTGAGTGAAGATGACTGTCTTGCCGGACCCGGTTGCCAGCGAGGCACCTAAGCGCTTGTGGCCGGCCTGGAGATAGGAAAGGACGGCCTGGATGCATTCCTCCTGGTACTCGCGCAACACGACTGCAGAAGGTGGCGATGGCGGTGGCGGTGGCGGTGATGGTGACGGTGAAAGTGAGGGTGCAGGTGATGCTGGTGCTGGTGCTGTGGGCGGGGGCAGTGGCGGGGGTGCCTTGGAGACGGTGGTGCCCTTGGTGGCCCTGGAGCGCCTCGAAGCATGTCTGGTTGTCGCGCGAGCAAGTCCATGGCCTGCCCGCTGGCCAATTGTTAGCACATGTTGGGCAGAGCGAAACATGAAGACGCGTGGGGAGAGGGAGCGAGGCTGTCGCGAAGTCACGATGCATGATGCAACGCACTTTTGCGTCGCCAAGCCGGTGGATGTGTACCGCCTAACCGCAAGCGTAGCAGGAGCTTATGTGCGCTAGCCTAAGACAGACTCTATTCTACTTACACTTTCCACTTTAGCTCTCACTAAAATCAAGTCTATATCTCTATTTCATCTTTATATTGAACCTTTTATCCCTTCTTATACTATGTATATATATAAGAATACATTAACTTGAAAGTAGTAGGTGAACAGTATTATAATAAGAAATACACTTAGGTGTAACGGGCTAGGTAGCCCGCTACAGTACAGATAGCGGTGGCTATCTTATGTATCAACTACGCAACGATATCAGCAGCTCTGATATCTTGTGCCAGCCTTTTTGGCGCGGTGGGCGCGTTGTAGTTGCGTGCGCAGTCTAATAGGACTCGACCCGTTACATTAGGTACAAAGTAGAACTCCAAGCTTTATAATAGTAAGTATTAATATAGTAAGAATAGTATTTATATAATACTTAGAAATTAAGTGTGATAGATATAGAGAAGAGTATCTAATTTTCCAAAGGACTAGAATATCAAAGTTATATAGCTACTTGTACTAAAGAAGATTAATTAGTAATCTCCTAGAGTTTTATATACGATATTAGCGCGCTTTAGTACCCTACCCCCTAGCTCACCAAGAGTCACACCCTGGGCAAGGCACGTCTGTGCCGTCCGTTGGCCGTGGTGGAGCCCCACCAAAATGTTTTCCCCCCATCACCTACACCCGACTTTTTGCTCTTCACCGCCCGCCATGGCCCATGGCTGCTCATCACTACACGCAACCGCCCGCCGTCTTGCGCACGAGGCTCTCGGGCGTGTGCACATCTGCTCCCACCCGCCATGAGCTCTGCCTCCGACTACGTTGACGACGGGCCGTCGGACGATTCCAGCGCACATTCACGCCGCCAGTCGCCTCGCAGGCGCCCCAGTGTACAGTCCATCGACCCCCTATGCGTACGCAAGGACTATCTCGAGAGCAAATACAGCGATGCATATCGCGTGCTCTTCAACCACGAAGTCCACCGGGCAGCCGCGCGCTTTGAGACGGAGACTACGGGCCATCAATACTACAGATGGCACGTTGGCGCCTCGACATGGTCGCCCCAAGAACAGGCCACCCTGTTCGCCGCCCTAGAGCGATTGGGAAGAGAAGATGTTCCAGGCATAGCTGCAGCGATTGGCACCAAGAGCGTACCAGAGATCCGCGAGCTGCTCGTGTTGCTCCACGATGCTGCAGCCAAGCAGGGCGATGCCAAGGTGACACTTCGCGACGTCCCTGCCGCCACTGAGCTGAGCAGTGAGTGCATCGAGCAGCTGGATGCTGCTGGGGAAGCGCTTGCTTGGCTCCAGGAAGTCTTTGAAGCCAGCCAGGAGAAGGAGAAATTCGGCGACCTCTGGCTGATTACTCCTGCTGTTGCCAACGAGATTGAGAGCGCCATCGACCCCAGCCGCATACGAGAGCCTACAACACCCATTATGAGCGAGCCAGAAGCTCGCGCAAGGGGAGGGCGAGTAGTCGCAGGGTATGTGTATGTCATGATAACAACAGGAGAGCACTAACATGCTGCAGCGCATGTCTTTCGTGCAAGAAGTTTAAGCAAAAGTGCGACCGCGAAACCCCATGTGGCAACTGCCAGCGGCGAAAGACTGAATGCGTATACTCCCACCAGTCTCCCAGAGCTGAACGGCCCGAGACCCCCAAGGACGAATCCACTATGGCCGGTATCCTCCAAGCGATACCGGAAGCAAACTTGCTACAGCCACAAGTCATGCTCACATTATCCAAAACCCTCTTCATGAACCGCTCTCCGACGATTCCTTCTCCCTGGCCGCACTGGTCCGAATATACGTCTGAGCTCGCTCAGGAACCCTCCATCTACCGTAGTGCCTTTGGCGATTTCCACAACTTGGTTATTTCTCTCACTAAACGACTTATGCAAACGGCCATTTTTCAAGCGACATCACGTCTCCGGTCGCAACGTTATAGAGTAAAGAAGAATGCCATTCCGTTGGTCAAGAGAAGGGACGTCCTAGCTGCCATCGACATTCTGGGCATGCAGAGAAACAGCCAAGAGCGATGGAAAGGTGTCGCCCGACGGTGTGCACTGAGAGTTTATGATGGCCAGTGGTCTCGTCACCGTCATAAGAGAACCAGGAGAGAGGTGCCTTGGGACGAGGTTGAAAGGATCATGACATCAGTGGAGCAGCCTGCTGATACCCTTACGACCGACGCTGAAACTTCCGAAAACGATCATGTCGAGTTCAGGTCAAGGGCTTCACGAAAGGGAACACCTCTGCCTATGGATCGGCTTGCACTATCCGACTCGGACGACGAGTCACTAATATACGAAAGTAAGCCAGTCTCTCAAAGCGCGCCGAAATCCCGAGATTCGATTGGACGATATACCAGTGTACCTCCTACAATATCTGGCACAGACTGTGGCTCCAAGTCCTTGAGCCTTGAGCAATTCGATCAAGAAGCAAGCCGGCAGGAAGAGCATTCCCTTTGGGGCATGCTTGACCTTGAGCCACCCGCCAAAGACGACGAGTGCAAGAGCGACGAGGATAGTGATGCAGGCAGTTTGGGAGATGAGAATATCGTTACGCACGTTGACGGATGGCGGTCTTGGACAGACTATCGTGCGGATTGGGAGGAATACGAAGTACCACCGAACACAGCCGACTTTATTGCAAATCAGAAACCTCTTGCAGCGCCGCCTGCTCTACAAGAAGGGACCACGGATGGTGTTGACTCAGTCTTGGGAGATGATATAGGCCTCTCAAGGAAAGAGAAGGTCCAGCAGCGCCAGACAAAACCAGCAGCAATTGAACTGCAGGCCTGGGGTACGCAAGCGTATGCCAAATTGCAAGGACAGACTCAGGAAAATGCAGACTACATGAACGAAAACAGTAGTCAAAATGACGATTCAAGCGACAATGCAGCACACCATCGACCCATCCAGTCTATTGAAAATAGTACAATGGTGTCATCGCCTGCCCCAAGATCAAGTGACGATAGTGATGGCGATGATGTGAGCATGGAGAAGCCGGCAAAGTCGATTGAAAGGGATGGTCGAATCTTTCCACTGAGTCCATCAGATGATGAAGACCATACTATGACACAAGGCTGGCCCATGCCACGTATTCAGGCCCGTAGTAAACCCCCACCAACGGTGTATTCGGATGATGAAGTGGGTGAGATGGACTGGAACTCATTTATTGATTAGAATATCAGCTGGCTACTAGTAGCGTCTGGGACACGCCTTTTCATGCTTCAGGTGTATGTGTTTATAGAGTTTTTTTGTGTGTGCATATCACGATATTTGAAACATTGCGTTAGTCTACACTAGAATAGTTCCGCATCATTATCAGTGTCGAGTATATATTATATGAAACTATGTCGATAACGAAACATCATTCACAGCCATGTAGGAGTGCATGCTTCGCACTCGCACTATCAATACCCAAAGCACTACCAATAAGTCAGAAAAACGATAGCCGATCGGCCAGCTCCCGCCCATATCAATCTACCCTTCTCCTAGGAGACCCATCGGACCCCGAGGCCCAACGTGAAACCCCCCCGACCACTTCCCCCTTCCTTTCACCCCTGATTTTTCTATTCGTTTGGGTCAATGCGCAGGAAGTGCGATTACGTCACCTGTATCTATCACTTTCAGGTTCACTACATTGATCACAAGACCCTTTCTTGCATGTCCTTTCCTTAGCCTGACATTATAAAAGCACCACGTCACCACAACTCCAACCCCTCAGTTCAACTCCAACGCCCAACTCTGGTCTTACCGAAGAGCTAAACCAACCAAGTGAAACACTCTATTCATTCACTTCCAAGCCATGGCCTCACCACTTCCTTCTTTCCTCCTCCTCCTCTTGGTCTTCTACCTCCTCATAATTACGAGTACATTGGTTGCTTCAACGACAGCGACAAAGGATGCGCGCCACGCGCCCCAAGAACCTAGCTGCGGGGCCCCATTTTGTGCTCGTAGAGTTACTCCTGGTGGTCATGTTGTAATGGTGCCGGCACAGATGCAGGGACGTGGAGAGGCAAAGGGAACGGGAGACGGAAAAGGAGAGTAAACGGCAGGACCTTGATGAAGACGTTATTGACAGAGACATGCTATGTCTGTCGCTGGTTCGTCGCGCAAGAATAGGGATATATAGGTGTCTACATGGACGGAGGGAGATGGATTGAGATACAGTCGGTGCCAACATGGGTTTGTCCAAACAGCCTTCACTCAAACCTTCAAGACTTACTTGGCCCCTATCTGGTCCTCCTTCATATCAATCCTATGCATACAACTCCACTCATCGAGATACAACTCCTGGACCAAGTAGACGCTTCCAAACCACTTTTCCCCCAGTCTGGCGCCGGGCAAATCGGGATTGAGGCGAAAGTCTCTCGAGATTTGATGGTGATGACTTCCTCGTGTGCTCACGGCGCTAGCAGCCCTCTCTCCATCTGCATGCCCACTGCCTCCACCCTGCTCGAAACACGCCAGCGACTCAATCGCCCATAACATCTCCTCATCCCCCTCATACCACCCTTTCAACCTCTTTCTTCGCACCCCCCTCCGAAACGCATTTTCCACGCTCTCCCACTTGTCGGGATAATCTCCCGGCACCAGTTTCTCGCCCCGCTTCACCCTCTCTTCCACCTCGTCCATCTTGACTTTCATTTGGTCGTCAAATCTGCGCCGGAGCACCTCGAGTCTTGCCTGCTCGCGGAAAAAAAGTTCCAGACTCGCTCTCCACTCGAAGCTAATCTCACGCGTGGCTGCGCAAACACTGAGATTAACGAGCGGCGTGTCGTTGACCATGGATCCAAGCGTAATCGTGTACCGTGGCATTTCTGGTTTCCACGATTCCACATGCTCGATCCAGCGCTGCGTCACCGTGTTGTACTGCTCATTACTCCTTTGTGGTGGATCAGGCCGCTCATCTTTGAACCACGCTAGCTCCACATCATCGCCATCATCATCATCATCATCATCATCGGCATCAGCGCATATACTGCGCCTTGAAAACCGCGTCCGTAACTCAGGCCGTTTGCTTCGGCCGCCGAGATTGTACTTTTCCAGCGCAAAGTCAATGTGCATGTCGTGGAGGAAGTGGTGGGCAAAGGCGCGGTCCACGCACGCGCGTAGCACAGACGATACGCGCCGCACCGTGTTCCACAGATGGGCGAGATCAGTGCAGTAAGTGAAGATGTTGATCCAGATTTCGGCCGGCAGCGAAGGACAGAGGGGCTCGCGCGGAATAATGTGGCGGCGCGGTGCTTTGGTGGCCATTTTTTTTGGGCGAGTCTACATGGCGTGGGGTCCGTTGCTTTGCGTTTGGTGCACAAGGTCATCTGGATATCTGGGCGTGTGTTTCGAGTCAGTGGCTGAGTATGACGTAAGCGTCTTCCCTGACGCGTCTTGCATTATACATGTACACGATCGACGCCTTCACATGCAGGGGCTAACACCTTCCGTTCCATATATACTACATGCAATACCGCTTCTCCCCTCACAACCATATTTATGGTCCACCCACATGAGAGAGTTACTCATTAAACTACCTATTCGACTGAGAGAGTTACTCGTTAAAACTTGAGAGGAAGACTCATTTAAAGTGAAAGATCTGAGAGAGTTACTCACTAAAAAACTACTAGGCTACGAGCTGTAACGACGCAGGCAAGACGACTCGGATCAGTATCGGCGGGAAGAGTCACTCAGAGGCATATGGGAGTGCGTGGTGGACAGCAACCAGGCCTTGATTCAAGTCGACACCTATAGGTCTTGTACGAAAGGATATCAAAAGTCTACAGAGCTAGCTACAGGGAGTGTCTCAATATATACCTATCCTAGTCGGGTCCGAATTCGGATCCGACCTCGGGCGAATGGCTGATGAAGGGCGGCAGGTACTTCCTCCGATCCGGCTCTGGGATTGGCTCAATACTTGGCGAAGTTGTAACATCGTTACACGAGCCTCACCTTCATTTAGATAACCCTCTACATTGTACCTACTCAATTTGTACCTAGATTAAATTCTAGCCTACGTAGTTACTTGCAGGCCTTAAGCCTGCACGTCTTATATAGCCCTTTGGGCTGAGAAAGGACGTTAAACTACAATAATAATAATAATAATAATAATAATAATACATGCAATACCGGCAGCTTGGTTGCATGCTGATGCTGACAAGCTGACCATGTTGTGGATTTTGTGTAACACTAGGGCACAGCTGGTATAGACCCACTTTGCATAAGAAACGGTACGATTGACAGCATGCATAGAGTGGGTGAATTGATACCACTACCCTGGCCAAGAAATAATAATTCAAAACACCGCCCTGAGCAACTCCGGCGCATCAACGCGCTTTAATAATACACAGCCAACCGTAGGGTCCAGTCTAATATCCGGTACCAACCTTTATTTCCACATATCCGTTCCAACCCTAAGGCACAAAGCTGAATGCGCATTCGTAATAGACGAGCAACGGACGTGACGACTACATCAAGACCCTGTGGGTCCAAGCCTGGCGCAAGCAAGAAGTGAACAAAAACAAAAAACGGGCGTCGCCGTGAGACCAGGTTTCAGCCCTTGAACATGTGCGTAATGTGTGAGATAGATGACACCCACTGAAAAACGAACCAAGAAGATACACGAAGCGAAAAGCAAAATCCGACCAGCAAAAAGGAAAAAAAAGAGAGTGTGGTTTCGACAAAGCAGCAGACTGGTATATAGCACAGTAAAGACACAAAAGAAAAACAATTTTTTTCCGCCAGTAGAAAAAGGGTCGGGATGGAGTGGACATGAGTAAAACGGAGACATGACAGCGTGACGGCCGCGATGAGAAGGAGCTGGCTGGAATGCCAGAAATATAAAAGCAAAGACCCCACGGAAACGCCAACTCCGTGATGTACACGAGATTCGTAGGATATGTTTTTTTTCTTCTTCTGGTGCTCAGACAGCAGTGCCTCTCAATGCAACCTCGGGCGGCGTAGGAGGCAGCGGCATGGTGGGCGGTGGGGCTGGGAGACCCATGTTTGGTGGCGTTGGAGGGAGCGGCATGTTGGGCGGCGGAGTGGGCGATGTGACATTACGAGGAGGTAGAGGAAGAGGCATGTTTGGCGGAGGCGCGGGTGGTGGGAGTCTGAATGACGCCAGACTACGTCTGGGAGTGATAGTCTTGTGCTCATTTTGTTGCGCTAGTGTTCGCTGCCTCAGCGTCTCAACATGAAGCACTGACTGGTAATTGCTCGTAGTTGATGGTGCTGGCATGCTCGACATTCTCCGGCCGGGAACAAACGATGGGGTTGATTGAATGGGCCGCACAGGACGGATTGACAAGAAAGGCGCTGGGTCTGGAGAGCGGACCTGGACCGAGGCTGGCCGACGGAGTGGTTGAGATGGTCCAGAAAGTAGACTATGAGGACTAGTGGTAGGCGTCATGTTGGATGCTGCCGAAGGTGGCCTCATCGGCAGGGTCACTGATCGACCCATGGTCAAAGGGTAAGGTGCTGGTGCCGGTGCCGGTGATGGCGCAAGGGCAGCCTGACGCCTGGACAGAATTCTTGAATTGTCAATATGCTGGGCTTGCGGTCGAACCGGAATGGGTCGTAAGAAGGGCTTGGGAGACCCTGAGGTTCGACGCCTGGTCTTGTCTTTGCTGGTAGATGCTAGATAAGGTGCCGGATGCGAGATGCCTGCTGGCGCGGGACTAATGACGGATCGACGTTGAGCAGGGGGAGGGGGAAGGGGTGCGGGCTCCTTTGGCGGAGGCGAGATGACGTCCCTTCGGGGTGGCGAGCTGTAAATCTGCGCATTGAATCTCACCGGGCTATCCTCACGGGCAGGTAGATGGTCACTGTCGTTATCAGACCGGTTGGGAGTGTCGGACTTGATTGGCAAGGGTGATGTGCATGCTAAACCAATGGTGCTGGGGTCAATCGGTGTGGTGTCGATTTCACTCAAAGTCGGGCCCTCTTTGGGCGCTATGGTTGCGTCTGTAACGAAGGGTCTTTCCAGTCCCGAACTAGTAGGCGATGACGGATAGAAGGAATGGCGCTTGCTTGTAGCCGGTGTCTCGGCGGATTGGAGCATGTTCTCATTCGTTGTGGGCAGCGGCTGCATCGATCTGCGCCGGGACGACAAAGAACTGTTGGGGTTCATCTGAAACGAACGCAGAGACATTGCACTTCGAAGCGGTTCATTGGTACCAGCGGCACCAAACTCATCTTTGGTGGGCGATTGCGGGGCGGGTGATGACTCTCGCGAAGTGTTTTGAGTGGCAGCACCAGACGCAGACGTTGCTGTCGACATGAAGGAATACCGCGAACGGCCACGCAGCTGGTCCAGTTGCATCTGATGTTGAGAGACGGGGGTAGAGGTAACCGACGACATCTCGACAGAGACACGAGTGCTGTTTGGTCGTATAGAGTGTCCGCTGGAAGAGTCGATGCTGAGTTTGATCTGTTCGGGAGCAGTCGTCTCCCAGTCTGAGGTGACAATTTGTGGCGAGTCGGATAGCCGTGGTTCGGCTGAGCCAAGCTTGCTCAGGTCGTGCGGGTCTCGGCTGGTCCTGAACCGGTGAGTGCTGATTTCTGATGACTCTTTGCCTGGTGGTGAGCCGTCGGTAGAAGACGAGGCGCGGGCGTAGTCGTCCTTGATGCGCATGCCACCGAGATTATCAATCTCCTTTCGCACGCTCGTCATCCACTCGTCCATCTCTTCGGCACTCTCGAGAACCAAAAGAAAGCTCGTTGCTGCCTTGCGTGTGGTTGCGTTCTGGGACCGCAGACGGGTAAGAAGCGAGTTCTTGGGGCCCACATCCAAGGTGCCGTCGTCGGTTGCATGGCTGGAGATTTGGAGGACCCAGTGCTTGCCGGGTATGAGATCACAGGCATAGGCAGCTGATTCTTTGCCCAATTTGAGCACCTTTTCCGGCAGCCTGTCTAACGGGCCGTCGTCAGTATACTGGAGGATGTAGCCCGAGGTGACCAAGACGTAGAGCTTGCTGACAAGGTCTGGCGGGGGTGGGTGGAGCACCGAATTGGACATGAGACGCTTGTGTGTCTTCTCGAGCTTCTTTGCCTCTGTGATGTGTTCAGTGATGGTAGACAGTTCGAGCTGACTGTCAATCTTCTCGCGTATAGACTCGGCTTGGCGCCGTTGACTCTGTGTCCTCATGAGAACCTCTGGAGCGAAGACGCAGGCTTGTACAGTGGCATGCTTGACAGACTGAGGGTAGGCCTGAAAGAGGGGCGGCGGGTCCCAGTCGCCGAACTCGTTGTGTGAAATAGCAGGACGGAGGGACACGGGTCGGAATCTCTGGCTTGCTCGAGCGCGTATCGTCTGCTGAGCGGGTGGCGATGGGTTCTGGCGCAGTGACGACTTGGCTATGGAGACGGGCGTGGTGGGTTTGGGGGGAGTGTGCGGACGCATAGGGACTGCGAGACCGACTTCGGTGTGTCCGCGAGCCTTTTCTACCTTTGGGCGGCTGAAGAGGTTGAACAAGGACATTTTGGACGACACACGCTCGAGCTTGGTCGTTGGGGGCGGGTGGTCGGATGCCTTTGATGCCACCGAGGCTGAGCGTTGAGCTGCGTCGCGCAGGTTTGCTGTGGACCGGGTGAATCGCCATCTCGACGTCAACGAGGCGTGCGGCCGTGCAGAGACGTCGGCCATGGTGAGGGTTGATTATGGGCGAGGGAGAGCGTCTGGTCAAGAAGAATCTCGAGGGCAGATGCAAGCCCAGCGAGCGGATGAGTGTGGTCTGACAAAGCAAAAGTTGTGCAGGTTAGTCGTGGCACGGGCAACCCAAGCTTTTCGATATTAACCCTGACAGGGGAGGAGGCAAAGTTTGGTAGCGACGGCTGGGGGGGGGGTGTACGTGTTATTCGAATCGGGTCCGTGAGGGCGTGGCGATTGGGTTGTCGAGTTTAGTGGTAGGACCAATGCGGGATGAAGGAATGTGGGGATAGGCGGCGGAACGGTTCAAGGAGCGGGATATAGGACGGCGTGGTATAAGACAAGGAGATGCGAAGATCAAACGAGAGGACGGGACCTGTGTCCCATGAAGAATGACAAAAGGCCGCAGATAAGACGGCAGGAGGAGGAGGAGGTGGTGGTGGTGGTGTGTATGTAAGTAGGAAAGGGCTGGCCCAGGTGAAACAGGACGACGGCGGTGGTGACGAGAGTCGTGGAGAGGAAAAGTGGCAAGCGTTAGTTGCCGCAGATGAGGCATCCCTAATCATGGTAGGGTGCCAGGGGAGCAGTTCCCAGGAGCCGTGCAGCGTGATGCGATTACGCAGGGGGTGTATGGTGGCCCCTATATGCACAGCTCGCAGGCAGAGTTGGGAGGGATGGGATGGCGCCGCTGCACGCTAATCGCGCCCCAGGGCTATTTTGGCGCGCTGCAACAGGGCTAGCCGGGGAGGGTCGGCACAACGTCTTTTGACAGAGCGCCGGGGCGCGCAGCATGGCTTGTTGAGGGCGCTGGGAGCTGGTGAGGGGGCGTGGGTTGGGTGTTTGGGGGCAGCGGAAAGGGAAAGGGGGGGGGGAGGCGAAGTGAGGCGAGGCGAGGCGAGGCAAGATGATGGAAGTGGAAGCGAGGGCCATGGCGACGATGACAATGGCAGCCGTGACGGGCGACGGTGACGGGCGACAGTACCGGTGACGACGACGACGACGGCCATGACAAGACGGCGGCTCTCGGGGCCTTTGACACGCAGACGCAGGCCCCTAGACTAGCAGCAAGTGAGCGAAACTCGAGGCGTGCAGGGCGATGCACGGCAGGGCCGGCAGTGCCGCTCGAGCAGCGGGCTGCAGCCAATGCCTGGCTTTGTGCATGTGGCGGGCATGGCAGGCGGGCGTGGTTTGGTAGGGGTTGTGCGTGCGACGTCTTTTTCTTTTGGTGCCATGGCTGCGGCGAGTGTGGCACGTCCGTCGCAAACGTGGTCGGGGTGGCAGCAGATGCGCATATTATTGTTTTGGCCGGCGTCTCGTCTCAGCATCAGTCGGGCCAGGCTTAGAGTTTGCCGGGCGGGCGGCGGGCGGATGCCGTCTCTTTGTCGGGGCTGTCAAGGGGACGGGGGGTGGGATGGAATGGGATGGAATGGGATGCGGGTGGGGTGAATTGATGGAGTAGGCGTGGTAGGAGGAGTAGCAGGATGAGGAGGAGTATGTAAGTGAGTAGTAATAGTAGGTAGTAGTAGTAGGAGTAGTAGTAGTAGTGGTAGTAGTAGTGTGTCAACGAGTCGCGTGTTCCTGCAGTAGCGCCACGGCCGGTTTCCCCCGCTCTTTTGGCTGCAGCTGCCTGCCTGGGCCACCCACGCCCGCGCGCCTGCTGCCTGTGCCTGCGCCTGTGCCCGTGCCTGCACTCCCATCGCCGTCAGTCAGTCAGTCGGTCAGTCGGTCAGTCGGTCAGTCGGCCAGTCACCCCACCGCCGCCTCATCCTTCTCGAATCTTCCCACCCACCCACCTACCCTGCCCCTCCCCTCCCCTCCCCTCCACCAACCCATCCCAACCCCCGCCTGCAGCACTGCCGCTACTATACCACTACCCACTACCACCGCCACTGCCATTGTCACTGCCATCATACTACTTACATACTGCCACACCCCTACCTGCCTCTCTACCCCTCCATCTCTCCACCCCTCCACCCCTCTACCCCTCCACCCATCCCCGCCCCAGCCATGCCCGACGTCAACACAATCTCGTCGTCGCCCTCGCCGCGCACCCAGTCGCCCTCCAGCGCCCGCTCCCCCCACTCGCTCGCCGCCACCGCCGCCATGAACGCCGGCATCCACAGCGAAGACTCGCGCCGACCCTCCTCCGGTAGCATGCGCAGAGACGTCGAGCGCGCCCGCCGCCGCTCCAGCATCCGCATGAACCTCAACCTCAACGACCCCGCCATGCCCGCCCCCGGCGAAATGCAGCAGAGCCCCTCTGCCCGCACCAGAGGCCCGTGGCCCCAGAGCCCCCACCACGAGCGCACCCCCAGCCTGGGCGAGCTGCACCAGGAGCTCGAGGCCGAGCAGGAGGGCCAGGTCAACCGCCTGCTCAGCATGATCCGCACCCAGCAGGCCCAAATCAACGCCCTCCAGGCCAACCACCAACACGCCGCCTCGGCCTCGGCCTCGGCCGTCGTCGACGATGGCACTCCCACCTCGGAGCGCGACATGTCCATCCCCCCCTCGCACACGCACTCTGCACACATGTCGCCCTTGCCCTCGGCCGCCCAGCCCCGCTCCCGCTCTCCCTATGGCTTTGCCTCCATCAGCCGCCAGTCGTCGTTTGCAGACCGCTCACGCCACAGCAGCCATGCCGGCTCGCCCTCGCTGCGTCCCATTTCTGGACACGCCGGCTCCTACGACCCCCACGACATGCTTCCCAGTCCCGCCGCACGAGACGAGAGCGCCTTTTACCAGGCCGAGACACAGAATCTGACGCGCGAGAACCAGATGCTCAAGCTGAGGATAAGAGAACTAGGTACCTTGTTTCGTCGCAACGTATTCTTGGAAGAAGAAAAGAAAAAAAGACTTGGCTAACACCTCCTCTCCAGAGCGCCAGCTAGCAGAGCAAAACCCCACGGCCCACGTCACGCATTCGCCCACGATACACTCGAGTCTTGCGCCTACACCCAGTCGAGAAGGCACAGATCAGGCTAGCCAACAAGGCCAGTCGTCTACCTCTGCAGAGTAGCCGCTTGTTCCCTCTATGCATTCTCTTCTCTTCTCTTCTTCTCATCTTCTTCTTCTTCTTCTTCTTCTTCTTCTTGAATCCTCTTTTTGAACATGGCCCCTGTAGGCGTCTGAATCCCGTTTCCCCTCCTATGACATCAGCGCACTATTTTGGCGCACGTTTCAAGAATAACGGCTTGTGCACGGTGCATGGCCCCATGGCGTTTCTAGGATATCCCAGGCCGACTGAATTTGGCGCCTCTCGCATGTCTACGTTGTTAGCGGCACCCATGGTGCGTCGATTAATCAATCCATTCATCCTTAATAGCTGCGGTACTCTGACCCTGACTTTGTGGTGCAAGATTTGTGGTGCAAAATGACGCACCTGCGCGACCCTGCAATCTTAGCCATTGCCATCAAACCATGATAGAATTCATTCAGCTGTCTGTGTCTGGACCTGTGGTGGGCACTAATGCCCGCCCCAAAGTTTAAGAAGATTGAATGGCATTTTTCTTTGCACTTGATTCGCGTATTGACTTTTTTTTTCTTCTTTTGGAGCTTGAACACAGGCAAAAGAAGGCATGACTGGGGTTTGCAAAAGAGGTCATGTTGTTTCGAAATGCAAACAAGATTGGCAGCAGGTCGTCTCACTCATCTTAGTTTTTTTTTTAGTTGGTTGCTTAACTAGTACTAGTGAGGTTGGAGCAGCCAGTACATTTAGACTAACCCAAACCAGACTAGTATGTGTTCTTTTAGCTGACTCTGGCTTGGCTAACACGTGCATATGCATGTATCCATCCATCTAAACTGTGGAGCTTGGTATTACTCGTTTTCTTTGTTTACCCCACTTGGCCCAATCTACTCGATACAACCTGTAACCTGCATCACCCTTGACCCCTCTCCCCTCTTTTTTTTATCTTCCATATTTTGTCTTGGTTACACTTGGGTACGAATAATTAGCTGCTTAGTTTGTTTGATTGTACATGGTAATGCTTTAATGCATCATTTCGGTGCTGGATGCACATATGAAGAGCTGTGGATGGGTATGCTAGCAATGGGAAATGCCATGAGCTAGAGAGAGAGAGAGAGAGGGAAAGAATAAAAAAAGCAATAGAAAGGAAATCTAGCAACACCCACCAACTCGTGTTTACCATTACTATACTGACATTGATGCTTGATTGTTTAATGATTCACAGCTATTCACAACCACTCTGCCGCGTTGTCAAATCTCCTGCAATCACTCGTTGAAATCAACCATGAAATAACTAACCATTCATCGACAATATGCATCAATAGAATATCCACATTCAAAAAAATCAAAATAAAAAAAAATACTTGTACAAATAGCCCTTGACCTAGACAATAACAACAGCAATAACTAACGTATGTGGCAAGCGAGCGCCGCAGGCAAGCGAGCGCCGCACCCCACCAAACCTGCGCACCTCTATAAGCCTGTAGTTCCACCACAATATAGTTGTTTTACTACATATTAACATAATAGATTAAGCAGTACCTAGAGTATCTTTCTTGCACGTACGCGAGTTATGGCCAGTCTCTCTGCACCTACTACAGCGCGCCAAAGCCTGGCGGCTAACACCTGATCGCTCTCCTCTCTGACGCTCTTCATGAGCAATCTGCTGATCAGCCTCGCGCTGA